AGGAGACCCCTTCCCTCCGGTGGGGCAGTGCCAGTCCCGTCCCGGCTCCCCCCACTGCTCACAGCCTTTCCCGCTGCCCCACGCTGTGCCGGCGGCTTGGTGCCACGCTGCGCCCGCCCAGCTCTGCCTGCATGCCAGTACACGCTTGCCAGCCCCACGGGCCCCACGAGCCCCACGAGCCCCATGAGCCCCACAAACCCCACACACACGCCGGGCTCTGCCCAGCCTCGCTAGGCAGGGGCTGCCGGGCACCGGGCCGCACTTGCCAGCCCACGGCCACCCAATTGCTCCCAGACTGAGCCCTGGCCTGCAGCTCTCAGCGCTGTGCACACAGGCTGCTCGACACTTTCTGAAGCAACAGCACAATTATCCAACCGCATCGCCCCTGAGCAGCTCCTCTCTTGGGACTGACGCTTTCTGGCAGCGAGGGCACCCCAATCCCTTGGGTTCCTTTATGAAACCTTTCTCCATCTGTCCCCTTTCTTCCCAAAAGCAAAGTCTCTTCTCCTGCACCCCCCTCACCCCACTCATCCCTTCCCAGAGCAGTGGGAGCTCAGGACACTCCATCCCCGGGGGGTTGGGGGTGGTGATGGCAGTGGTGGCAGTGGCGGTGGTGGCGGTGGTGGCGGTGGTGGCGGTGGGCAGGGGCTCTGGGGGCCATCTCTGCCGTGCAGGAGGAATGCGGCGCGGGGGGTCCCTGCGGCAGCCGGCCACGCTGCACCGGGGCTCTGCCCTTCGGCCCGGGCGGGAGCGGCCGCGGGCTGGGGGGCACCGACCGGGCAGCACGGTTACAGCACGGCCCCCGCCGTAAACAGGGAAACGCACCCGCCCCCGGGGCCACAGACACCATGATCCGCCCGTTTCGTCCTCTCTCGTACCATCACCCCTGCTTTGGCACTTCCCTGTAACATTCCCGCACTGCCTTGTCTCATCCGGTCTTACGCTCCTGCCTCAGTTTCCCTTCCAGAACTGGGTGGGAGCCGCATCCCCGGGGAGGGGCCGGGCTGCTTTCCAGGCACGCTGCCCCACGTTTTGGCGCTGGCGGCCGTGCCGAAGCGGCGGGACGGCGGAGGGGATGCTGGCTGCAAAACCCGTCAGGCCGAGTGACACGAAGCGGTGTCACCCCCGGCCCACCCGAGAGCAAACCTCCCGGCAGCTGAACAAGCCCAGCCCCGTCCCGCACACCGGCACGGGGGCACTTCCATCCCCTTCCACTCCCGTGCTTCGTCCCAGTGTGTTTCGAGAGCTGGAAAGCCGTGCGTGTTCACTGATTCACCTGCAGTTTCAGGCGTGCCGCGGTCCCAGCGGGGATGCGATCGCGGCGGAGCGTGGCTGGATGCAGGTGCTGCCCAGAGCCGCGGTGAATCACCCTGTTTTCCCAACGCCTCTCGCTGCGGCACCACCATCCCTGGGGTTTTAAGACCTTCTCACCCAAGTTTACATAACGAAACCTGAAAGGTACAAGCTGTTCCCCGGGGTAATCACAAAGGGTAATCATCCCTGCTCTTGTTCTTGCTATAAAAAGTCACTGGCCACAAAATATTTCACATTTCCCCAGAATATGGGAGAGGACCTGTAAAGCACTGGCCCATGGGGCTCTTTACGGTGCTGTGGCCCGGCCGGCACCACGCTGGCACTTGCAGCCTGTGCCGGGGCAGCGTGGCACCCCCAGCACCGCGCCCCACCCGCCACCCCCCCATCGCTCCCCACCAGAGTCACGGAGGGCTGGTTTATTTTTTCCAGTAAACTTCTACGGCAGAAAAGGCAAATGCGTGCCACTAATTCCCCGTCACACCAGTTAGTGACGGAGCGGGGCTGGGGAGGCCCCCCCAGTGACAAAGGAGCCCCGTGGGCGCACAGCCGGCTGCGGTCACCCGCGCAGGGACACAGCCTCGGCGGGCGAGGGGACCTGCAGCGACTGGGCTCACTAATGCCCAGGGCAGCGGGGCCAGGGCCAGGCTTGCACCATACCCAGGCTTGCACCATACCCAGGCTTGCACCGTACCCCAGTTTGCACCGTACCCCAGCTTGCACCATACCCAGGCTTGCACTGTACCCCAATTTGCACCATACCCCAGTTTGCACCATACCCCAGTTTGCACCGTACCCCAGTTTGGACCGTGCCCCAGTTTGCACCGTGCCCCAGTTTGCACCGTGCCCGCGCCCCGGCGCGCAGCGAGCCCCTCTCCACCAGCTCCACGCCAGGCCGTGCCGCCGGCCGAGCGTGCCGGGCCCGGGGGGCCGCTGCCCTCCCCACTTCTGCAGCTTGTAAAACCAAACCAGTCTCGGTTTTACTGCCTGATCTTTGTAACGCAAACAGAGGTCAGTTAAAAAGGTTTTATACGCAGCCGTTACCGGTGCAGGTTGGCTGGTGAGATGCTCGCGTTCGTTTCACTGTGATTTTACTGGTCACCACTAAATTACTCTATTCTGTTTAGTGACAGCGTGTCTCTGAAAGCGCACCCGATAAACCGAGCAATTAAAGTGCTGCGTGAGCCTGTTTGCTCCCCGCACGGGAGCGGGCGATGCCCGGCCTCCCCCGGCAGCGCCGAGCACCAGCCAGCGGCGGGGAGCGGGGAGCTGCCCCCTCGCAAGCCCCGGAGCCGCTCTGCAGACCTGGCTGGTATTTCCCACCTTCGTCTCGCAGCTCTGGTAAATGCCAATCTAATTAGGGGCCGCCCGGGACCGGCAGGTAACGCCACGTCACCGCTCCCGGAGCCGGAGCACCAGGAGCCTTCCCAAATCCCCAAGGAACCCCTGAGCACCGCGGAGCGACCCCGGCAGCCACCTTGGTGCTGAAGGGTGTGATTCGGCCAGAAGCAGTGCAGGTTGACACACAACCAGACAGGAAGGAGTCCTGTGTTTGTTCCGGTGACCTGAGCTGAGTCCTGCTAACGGGGTTGTGATTTCGGAGGGATTTTCCCCCTGGAGCTGACCTCGGCTCTCTGTGTTGGGCTCTGACACAGGCACCTCCGCTCCCCATCTTTATACACAGGCCTAAAAACCAGCCCAGAAACCTTCTCATCCTAATTTGTATCCAATCCAGTCACCATTAAAATATTTTCCTTTTACCAGATAAACTTAGGACCACTTGCTATTTAGAAAACACCGTGGGTTAGACCCATGGTGCCATTTTCGGGGCTGATTTGCCCCGTGTATCCAGTTTCTCAGCTGTATTTAGCTGCTGTCAGAGGGGCATCACGCCACACGACGCCTCGATTCAGAACACAATGCCCGGGGTGCAGAAGAGCTTTCCACAGTGTTTTTCAGCTGTATTTTTAGCAGGAGGTTTTTGCTTATGAAATAAACTTTGTCATGAAGCGGGCAAGAGAGACAACGGAAAGTCAAGCCAAATTCAAGGTCATTTGGCTTCACTGGCTTCACAGCTGATGTTTCAAACCACTGAGCAAATGCAGCCTGCTCTATTTTCAGTGTTAGAGCTGCCAGTGCTGGCAACAGACATTGTTCTCCAGGGAAATAAGTAGTGATAGAAGGGCAATTATTTTGACAGGACAGAGGTGAGGAACTGGGTAAGTCCTGGTACTCACCATCAAACCTGTTCGTTCTAGCTTCCCTTGGAAATACAGCTCAAACACAATCCCACATTCCGCTTCTGACATAATAGTAGGAGGTACACTTGTGCAATTTAAAAATAAAAATCCCTTTTGTTCCCAAACGACGAAACACGGAGACACTTGGGAAAGTCTGACCAGGTCCTGATTGAACAAGAACCTGTGATTACTTTTCCTAGCAAGAGGCAATCGTTACCTTTTACAATGCTTTGCTGCACTGTGGTGATTTATAGTTCCGAAGAGGTTTATACATGTTTACTGTTCTGCTGTGAGGAGTTAGTGTCTCCCACAATCGCTCAAGATACTCAAGGTTTTGCCTCTAAACCGTGTTTGTGCAGCAGTGTTGGGTTCAGGGATCCCACCTCCCGGCACGCAGCGCGTTGGCCCCGGCACAGGGAAATAGGGAAGATAAACGGGAGAGCGTGTGTGTCTCCAGCCCCCCTGGGGGATTAGTTATGTGATCAACCAGAATCGGTGTGCAAGACACGTAAACTTGAGATTAAGTCATAAAATCCAGAAGCACATGCTGGACACCGTGAAAATCGCAGACAACCGGGCTATGGGGCTGCTCGTGAGGGCACCCGGCCCCGTCCGAGCCCCTCGCCTTCCACCCTCAGAACCAAACGAGCTGCTTTATCTCTTAATGTCATTGTCATTTTATGGAAGCAGAGCTGCCTTCTCCTGGCAGGACACCGTCACCCTTCAGGCTCGGCCGCTGCCGCCCAGGCAGGGTCCTGCCCCTTCTCTGTGAGCATCAACACCCTCGGTGGGCAGCGCTCGGGCGGCGCGGGGTGTACAAAACACTCCCAGGAGACCGTGCCCAGCAGCAGTCTTGATAGTAAACACAGCTGCTCAGGGAGGCTTTTTTTTAGGGAGGAAAAAAAAAAAAAAAATTATAAGAGCTTATACTCCTTTTAAAAAAACTATTATAAGATCTTTTTACAAAAGGATAATAAAACCGTTTCAAAATAAAGTGCAGTTCAGCCGCGGCTGTTTAATTTGTGCCAAGGGCCTGTCGTGGGGGGCGGCTGGCACGAGGGCAGCCAAAGCAGTGGGGTGATGGGGTGGTGGGGGGACTGATGGGGTGACTGATGGGGTGGTGGGGGGTGATGGGGTGGTGGGGGGACTGATGGGGTGATTGATGGGGTGGTGGGGGGTGATGGGGTGGTGGGGTGATTGATGGGGTGACTGATGGGGTGGTGGGGGGTGATGGGGTGGTGAGGTGATTGATGGGGTGACTGATGGGGTGACTGATGGGGTGACTGATGGGGTGGTGGGGTGATGTCCCGGCACAGGGACCCTCCAGACCAGACCGGGGGGGCTGCTGCTTCTTTTGGGGAGGAAAACCCGAGGAGAGGTGCCGATCCCGGAGCGGGGCGGGGCCGGGGCGGGGCCGGGGCGGGGCCGGGGCGGGGCGGGGCGGGGGCGGGGCCGCTCGCAGCGCGGAGCGCGGCAGGAGCGCGGGCGGCAGGTACGGGGGGAGCGCGGGCGGCGGGGGGGTCCCGGGCGGGCCGGGCCCTGAGGCCCCCGCGGGGTGCCCGTGGGATGCCCGTGGGATGCCCGTGGGCTGGGGGCGGCCGGCGCCGTGGGGCTGGACCTGCGCGGGTCAGGGGGAGCGGCGGCACTTCGGTGCTGCTGCTGCTCCCCTGTGCCGGCCGCGGAGGATGCGGTGTGCAGGCGTAATCTTGTTTCGAGAGGGAGAGGAATAAGGGGAGCCCTTCGTGGGCTCTTTTGGAGGGGAGGGATGAAAAACTTCAAGGGGGTCACGGTGTTTTTCTGCGTCGATCCTGCCGGGATGTCACCCACCCGTTGCCCGCTCTTGCAGCAGCGGTGCAGCCAGCTCTCCTGGATGTGTGCACTGAGCAGTCCGGCGCGCTCGTTCTTATTTAACCTCTGTTTACACAGGGCTTTCTATAATCTCCCCCATAAAAGGTATGGAAGCAAACCGCAGCTCTCTGACCCTTTGGGTGCCCGTTCCCTGCGCCGTGGGGAGCGTGCCGTCCAGCCCCGGCTGCTGCCTCCCCGCGACACCGGCCTTGGCGCAGAGCAAGAGATCTGCCACCAAGGAGGGAGCCGCTGCGGGGGTTTGCTCCTCTTTACGCCCCGGGATTCACGTTGTTCATTGCACAAGCAGCAGAGTTAAGCTCTCGGCAACGTGACCTTCCTGGCACGTGAGGAGGAAGGCTTGTCATCCTCCTGGGAGACAGGGACCGTGCTGGAAGCCCCGGGTAAGGCAGGGCCCGGCGGGACGGAGCTCCGGACACAGGGAGCAGAGCGTCAGGCGAACGCTCGCTGAACTCCCAGACTGTAAATACTCCTCGAGTGCTGCACGCGTGTCCGTCGCGATTAGAGCTGCCGGCGCGGCCAGGGGGGGTCTGAGCCGGCAGCCGCTGGCCCCCCGCACACGGGCGAGGTGAAGTGCCACTGCCCCACTTTTTTTTTCAACTGCTGACCTGTAAACTTGTGATGTAGTAAAAAACTTCCCTCTAATTTGCAAAAATACCACTAGGTAGCATAAATGTCTTCTCTAGGAAGACATGGTCTTTTCCTCAGGCTCTGGGGAAGAGGGCAGATGAGCAGCTGGTGATCAGAGGAATGACTGTGTGTCCCAGCAGAGAAAGTCCTGAATAATTGCAGTATCAGGCCTGGTAGTGCTGGAGCGGTTTTGCAGCTGAGGTACCACCCTTCAGCCTCCAGGAGTGCGCTGAGTTTTGCTTATGTCTTTATTTCCTTTAAGTGGCAATTGCCCTAGGAAAACCCCAGAGGAGATTCGACACAGTCAACACAATCGTTTCGTAACGTGGGAGTCTGATCTCACCCGTAAGGTGGAGGAGTTTCACCTGGGATGATGCTGGGAGGATGCAGGGCTGGACTCGCGGGCGCTGGGGCAAGGCGAGGACACCTCCTTCGCAGCGCGACGCAACGCGCACTACAACCAGGGGCAGGGTGCTGTTAGGATGGCTTCGGCCACCGTGGGGACACGGGCCCTGCCAGGAGAGGGGCACGTGTCCCCCCGTGCACCACAGGGGCCTCGTGTCCCCCCGTGCACCACAGGGGCCTCGTGTCCCCGGGCCAGCTCCTGACAGTCGCTTCAGGTGACACGAGTGTGCTGACCAGGGGCAGCCCCGAGTGGGGAAAGCAGCGGTGGTTCCCCGGAACCACCGGCAGAGGAGGCAAAGGCAGGTCTCGTCGTCACATTAGAGACCCGGCCCGCAAACGGGGCTGTGTGGCAGTAAAAACCGCAAAGGAGAAAGAGGAGTGGGGGGAGCCCAACGGGTGCGTGTGCCCCTGCCCGGAGCGGGGCCGCGGAAGCGGAGCAGCCAAATGAGAAATAAAACCTGTGAGCGGCAGCTGGGAGCTGCCAAACGTCCGGGCCCTCGAGCTTCCCACGCTGTGTGAATAACGGGGGCTTCGCGGGCGGCCGCAGGGACAGATTGCCGGGACCGCGAGCCTGCCCTGCGTGCCGCTCACCAGCCGGAGCCGGGCCGTGCTCCGCCAAGGGGGAGGCACCTCCCGAGTCCCAGCCCTGATCTGCTCCTCGGCTCCTGTCCCAGCACAGCCTCCGCGCCCCCTCCCCGGAGGCGTTTTGGGAAGGGGTGACAGGTACCCGTGTCTTGGCGTCCCTCATTTGTCACTTCTTCGCTCCAGGTGCAGCCCGCTGATGGGGGAGACCAGGGCAGGCTCCAGGCTGGCCCCAAAACCGGTACCAGCCCCCCTCCAAACAGCTACGATAACCGAGCACTGAGCTTCTGTGCCGGGGCAAGGAGCCCCCCCCAAACAGGGGCTTTGGCTTCCCATCGGGCAAGGCACCTCGCGCCGGGTGGCTTTCAGTGGTGGGAAAGAAACAAGAAGTCTATCTGGAAACATTCTGGAAATACAGGTAAGGAGAAAACTATTAAAGTGAGAAAAAAGATTGAAAAAGTCATCCAAGTATGGTCAAGCACAGCTTTTGCTTAATGCCATTTCTTTTACCAAATGATCTGTGTAAAAGCACAGCTTGTGCCTAAAAGGATGAGTAAACCTGAGTCCTTCACTCTGCTGCCATGTTAAGATGTCCCCTGCAGAGCCTGTGTGTCTGTCTGCTTGGCTGTACTGCCAGCACACCTTTGTTAACATGGTTTTTTTAATTTTGGGATCCATGTGTTTTCATGGAGGGGTGGGGATGCTGCAGGCATCCTGCTTGAAGATGCTCTTCCAGCTGTCCCCGTCCCCATCCCCATCCCCATCCCTGTCCCCGTGCCTGTGCTCCCACTGGCAGATGCCCCGCGGGGCTCTGGGACGGGGCACCACTTGCAAAGAACATGTTCCATAGCTTTGACATCGGGCAAAAAACATTCTGAATCAGTTTAAAACATACCTAAAAACTAGTTTAACTTTATTTTTCACAGTGTGGCCTGAATCTAACTTAAAAATGTGGAAATGCTGCCCTTCAGCACAGCGTTTTTATGGCTGGTGAGCTGCAGAGATAAAGAGAGATAGAAGGCGCTCCAATCTTTGCTTAAACTGATTTGGAGCTGGTCTCCCTTTCCTAGTGCAGCATCTTCCCCTTGCTATTGCTAGCAAGCAAACCGTGACTTTGCAAAGAGCACTCTCAGGTTGGGTGGTTAAATGGAAATAAATTCAAGGTGCAGAACAAGTGTATCAATGACTTTTGCAAAACCGTGAACAAAGATAAAGCAGCGTCAAAATTAGCTGTTCAGTATCTTTAACTTTTCTCTGCTATGAAAGCAGAGATTTTACTCCATGCGTGCTCCTCAACCCATAAGTGTGTTTTTCAACACCGCCGTCGAGAGAAAAAAAAGCTAAAACTCAGCCTTGGGAAACAATATAAAAAGAAATAGTAACTTCTTCCAGCAGTGTGGGGTCGACGAGAACCCACGAAGATCTGCAGGACAGGCTGGGTCCCCCGGCGGCCGGTGCCCGGCTCCGTGCCCGGCGCCGCGGTCTGTCGGCGGCAAAGAGGCGGCGGGGCGGGCGGCCAGTCAGGTCCGGCCAGCCCGGGTCCTGCCCAGCGCAGCGCAGGTGTGCTTTCGGTTTTAATCTAATCTAAATCTTTTACTGGATTTCTTAAAAGGCAGAAAATATTTACTAGCTTGCCTTGCTAGGCTCTCTGGATTTAAATGTATTGCGATGATCCCGTTTTGTAAAGCTGAGGCTGGGCCTTGGGCTGGGTCTGTGTCACGCCCGGCAGCAGAGGGCTGGGGCTGAACGGCCGCGCGCGTTCCACCTCTTCCCTTCAGCCACGGGTAATTAAGCAGAGGCCGAGGTCGTTGCTCCTGTTTTCGTTAGAGTCCTGCCCGACGCCAGCCAGCACCTGATGCAATGCAAGCGCCTCCCGTGAGCAAAGCCTTCTGCAGCCCCGGGGGCGCGAGGTCGGGGGTCCCGGGGGTCCTGGGACGCGTGTTCCCCGGAGAACAGGACGCCTTCACGTGAGAGCAGAGCCTGCCCTCAAGCTGTGGAGGAAGCAGCTGGAGCTGCTTCTTTCCAAAGCACCCCGCCGTCGGGACTGACGGCGTCAGGCTACATCTGGCAGCTCAGGTCACCCAGTGCGCCAAGAAAGTCATCATCGCTCTCTGCGTCGTGGAGTGAGACGTCATGAAATCTTTGGGGTTTATTCTTTTATCAAACTCTGTATATACGACTCAGGAGATTTTGCAGATCTTGGCCAATTAATCAATGAATGAGCATTACCTTTTTTTTTTTTGAAAAGTAAGAAGGACACAGTTGCTTCTACTCTCCAGGAGGCCTGTGTGCACCCTTCTGCTTCCTCTTGTGCCTTTCGTAGTCTATCTACAAGCAACTTCATGTTAACATAGTCTGCATTGCTGAGTACTGCTCGTTACTGAAATATTACTGTATTATTTCAGCACTCTTTCTTCGAGGATGCTGAATTATACGCAGCATTAATCTTTAATTCTGTTCTCCTACCGTTTAAATCTGAAAAATGTTGTAAGCAGCTGACTCGGGTTTGTTTTGAAATCCTGCCTCAGGATATTAAGATTTAGTAACACAAATTCTCACCTTAAAATAGCAGTACAAAATGTTCTATTTACTCACAATATGAATGTAAAATATGCAGCATCCCTCACATGAGCAGTGGAAGCATACCGATAGTATCTGAAAGACAAAGGAATTTGGTGGAAAAAAACAATCCGTTGTCCTTCCTGTGGCGAGCAGCAGCCCTGAGCAGCATTCCTGGTCCTGGGAAAGGTGCTGCTGGTTCCAGGTCCTCTTCTCCCGCCCTCCCCATAGCCTGGTGCACTGAAATAGCTTCTACTTTTAAGAATTGTCTCGAGCCCTGTATTAGCTTGAATATTAAGTGCTGTCAGCCTGAATTCTACCTGAGCCCAGCTCCTGTGTGTACTGCGTGGTCCATCTAGTGTTGGCAAAGGTTTCAGGCGATCTCAGAGACGTACCAGTTTGCACAGAAAACAGGACTTCCTCACGAGATACCTGGTGAGTTACTGCAACTCTTGCAGCCACGCAGGCACTGCCACGTCCAGCACCCCGAGTCACTTAACTCTCGTGGGGCCAGAAGGGACCCCGGGGGGGATGTGACAGAAACATTCACCATTTCTGGCCCTGCAGAGCACAAACCTCCCCCCTGCCCCCTCTCAGGAGGTGGGGGGCCGTTTCACCACCATGGTGTGACCCTGCAGAACATCTCTGACTTTCTCCTGGGTTATAAAACCACAGTCGTGCCATCACATAACTACTCCCCTTTGTGCCATCACGTAACTACTCCACTTCTGCTCTGCTGGCAGGTCAAGTGTACTTGGCTTGACACAGCCCTGCTGCTCAGCTGTTTTGATGTCTTTCCTCCCCGTTGCAGGCAGCAGCATGAACCTGAAGAAGTACTTCATCCGGGCGCTGCACCGCCTGCAGAAGGGCCCTGGCTACACCTACAAGGAGCTGCTGGTCTGGTACTGCGACAACACCAACACCCACGGCCCGAAGCGCATCATCAAAGAGGGGCCAAAGAAGAAATTAATCTGGTTCTTCCTAACGCTGCTCTTTGCGTCTCTGGTCTTCTGGCAGTGGGGGATCCTCATCAACACCTACCTCTCCTACAACGTCACTTCGTCCCTCTCCATCGGCTTTAAGACCATGAAGTTCCCAGCAGTCACAGTCTGCAATGCCAACCCTTTCAAGTAAGTTTTTCTTTGCCTAATTTACCCAGTGGTGGTTTAACAGCCCCAGCTATACTGCTAGCCTAAGGTGCTGTGGCCCAGCTCCTGCCTCAGGTAGCACGTTAGGAGTGTCAGTGGCCTCACCAAGTGGCACTAAAAACCAAATAAAGGGGACCAGCACGAAGGTGAATGGCTCGGGCCCAGAGGAGTGTTCACGTGCTGCAAGTTTGCCTGGTTTTCCTTTCTGTATCAGTTCATCTAATGGCGGTTATTGCCCCCCTGCAAACTTTCCCTGGCCCAGGGGAAACTCGAAGTTCAACTCACTTGCCACAACCAAAATCAGTCTCTCAGTCTTTCCCCCCAGTTCCTTTCTTTCTCCTTCCTCGCTGTGAACGTACCTCTTATCGCTTACACTCTGGCCATGGAGAGCTGGTCAAACAGTAGTACCAGCTGTGAGCTGCAGTGGTTTAACTCAGTCGTAATTTCAAAGGAGTAACTGATTTTTGTTAGAGTCGCTTCAAATTTATACCCATGCAATAGCACAGCCCAAGGCAAGGTGCTCTTGGCCGACAGACAGGACTTTGGGTTTTTTCCCTCTGCTCGCTAGAGATGTTTTGCATAAACTGTAGTGAATTGCTGAAATACAACCGATCCGGTTCTGCGCTGGCAGAACCCTGTTCACCCCACACTCTCTGTTCATCCTCCCGCCGGTTCCCCGCCCAGTTGCGGGTGGATGGGATGCCCGTGTGCGAGCTGGCCGTGCTCTGCACGGAGCCTCCCGTCCTCCCCCAGTGAATCTCTGGGCAGCGATGTGAGGTCCCCAGTAAGGTCCCAGCGGCAGCCGAGCTGCTGCACATCCCCCCCGCCTCTACACCGCCTGGTGACTGCATTTGTCCTGCAGATACTCAGAGGTGAAGCATCTGCTGAGAGAACTGGACAGGCTCATCGAAGCGGCCCTGGAGAGGATCCTGCAGCCCGTGCCGGGGAACGGCAGCGCGAGCAGCTCCCCGCCGCTCGACCTGGGGCTCTGGCACCAGATACCCCTGGTCCTCATCGACGAGCACGACAAAGACAACCCCGTCATCCTGGACATCTTTGAGAGCAACCAAGGTGCGGGGGGCAACCGAACCGCTGCGGGCAACGAAACCTCTGCAGGCAACCAAACCGCTGCGGGCAATGAAACCAGTGAGGGCAACCAAACCGCTGCGGGCAACCAAACCGCTGCTCCACTGGCCCCAGCCAACACGACGTCGGAGGAAAAGAAGTACAAGCTGGCGGTGAAGCTGGTGAGAGGGGTCCCGCGGGGGCGGGGGGGGGCCGGGTGGCACTGGGCACCCCGGCAGGGATGCGGCACGGGGACCGGTGTCCCTGCCCCGCCAGCTGCCCGTGGCCACTGCGCCCCGGGGCAACGGGCCGGCGGTGCTGGGGCTGCCTGTGCTGGCAGCACCCTCGGTGCAGGGCACGCGGAGCCCACGGGCAGGTCGCAATTCGTGGCGTGTTGCTGCAATGCCGCGGAGCTTTTTTTTTTTTTGAGGAAGGCGGCACAGAGGTATTTTAAGATTTTTTTAACATTTCAGAGGCGGGTCTGATCCCCTGCAGGACACGCAGCCAGACACCCAGCTGAAGCTGCTGGGCTTCTGCATAGGGGGCCTGCAGCAGGATCATACCCTGAATATACTTCCCTAAATGAAAGGAAACCCATCGAGGAGCCGTGTTAAGTTAGTCTGTGGTGAATTTCAGGTAGCTGCATAACATCAGTAAGATCAGCGGGTTCCTCGTGGAAAAAGGGACTGGCAGCACGTAGCAGCCTAGCACACATCAGAGGTACGGAGCAGATCCTGCCAGGGGATCCTGCCAGGGGATCCTGCCCAGGGATCCTGCCAAGGGATCCTGCCAGGGGATCCTGCCCAGGGATCCTGCCCGGGGATCCTGCCAGGGGATCCTGCCCGGGGATCCTGCCAGGGGATCCTGCCTGGGGATCCTGCCCGGGGATCCTGCCAAGGGATCCTGCCCGGGGATCCAGCCCGGGGATCCTTCCCGGGGATCCTGCCAAGGGATCCTGCCAAGGGATCCTGCCCGGGGATCCTGCCCGGGGATCCTGCCAGGGGATCCTGCCAGGGGATCCTGCCAAGGGATCCTGCCAAGGGATCCTGCCTGGGGATCCTGCCCGGGGATCCTGCCAGCTCAGGCGAGAGGGATGCGGGAGATGCCGGGCAGTAACGGCGCTGTGCGCGGCGCTGGTCGGTGGAGGTGCCTGCGGTGCAGGGGACAGCGCTGTATGTCCCTGGGGTCACCCAGGGCAGAGCCGGGGCAGAGGGGCTCCCCACAGGCTCCCACCACCTTCACCCCTTCCTCGGGTCCGGCACCCGAAATGCCGGGGAGAGGCTGTGGGTGCCGCCCCCGCCCCGCTCCTGCTGCCGTCCCCGGCGCGGAGGACACGGTGGTCTCACAACCCCCCACCCTCTGCTCCCACCGAGGCCTCGAGGACCCGGCCTGACCTGGCCTTGGAAGCTGGGGAAATTCCAGCCTTAAAGAATTGCCCCAAAAGTGACGTTTTCTGTAAGTTTGTGGAACCAGCGCTGGGACCGATGGAGAATCTGCCCAGCTGGGAAGTGTCCCCGGGGAGGGACCCGGCTGTGGCAGCCGGCTGGCAGCTCCGGGCTGGCCGTACCCCCATTTCCTGGAGCCCCCCCCCCGTCCCCCGCCGCGGGAGGGGCTCAGACCTGCCTCTGTCCCCCCAGTGCAGCCATCAGGGCTCCGGCAACTGCACGTACAGGAACTTCACCAGCGCGGCGCAGGCGGTGACCGAGTGGTACATCCTGCAGTCCACGAGCATCCTCTCCAAAGTCCCGCTGCAGGAGAGGATCCGGATGGGCTACCAGGCAGAAGACATGATCCTGGCGTGTCTCTACGGGGCCGAACCCTGCAACTACAAGTAGGTGCATCCCGGGCTCCCCCACTTTTCTGTCACATCGGGAATGGTACAGGATGCTAGAGGCGTGACAGCCTCTCCCTTTTCTCTTTTTAAGGCATACATCAGTTAATAAACAGATTTCTTCTGGTTCTTAACTCATTTCCCAGAGGGTTTCTGGATGTGATCCCGGCTGAAACATGCTCATTTGGGCTAGTGCTGGCATGAGTTTTGGTTTTGGGTGAGCCATTTCGCTCATGGTCCATCAAGACAAACAGCATCAATGGGACCTTCCCAGGGTGTTTAGTGACAACCAGCTGCCAGCCCCGGGGCTGAGCCAGCGTACCCCAGGCACAGCAGTGCAGCCTCCACTTACAGCCCCCCCTTCTTACACAAGACTCCAAGAAATGCATTTTAGCCATCCTTGTTTCTTGTGAGCACCAGACTTACACATCCAGCTTTGAGAAACGTGAGCACACAGCAGCAGCCCAGGCTGCACCGAGTCCTGCCCCTCCTGCAAGGAGGGCCACAGAGATTTATTATCAAAGAACGAGATATAACACCAGCCAAAGCCTGTTACCATCACTCAGATCAAGCAATTATTTCTCTCATCTGTGTGACAGATGATTCCTTTCCATTCCAACAAAGTGTTATCCCCAGCGGCTGTGTCTCAGTACACACCAGTACCTTGCTTTGCTTTTTTTTTCAACAGCAGATTGAAATTATATCAGCTGAAATTTCTATACAGGCATTCAGCAAAGGAAGCAATTTAAAGTGAATCCCAGATGTAGCTGCCAAGCACAGGTCCCACCAGATGCATTATTTTATAACCTCCCCGAGAGTCACAGTTTTATGTGCATGATTCTTCCAGGAATTTCACCCAAATCTATCACCCAGACCATGGTAACTGCTACATCTTTAACTGGGGCATGGATGAAGAGGCTTTGAATTCTTCCAACCCTGGAGCCGAGTTTGGTAAGAGAGAGCTCTGCTAGGGAGGAAGGAGCTAAAGGAGCAGAAGTGCTGGCAGTGATTCTGCCTCTCGGTGGCTATTTCTGCCAGACAGAACGGATTTACCGTGTCTGTGTCTCTGGAGCACTGCAGCAGGGAGTAATGGTTTCCCAGGAGGGGAAAAGCCCCAAAAGGGAAACGTGTCACATAGAAACCAGTAATGTGGCCACAGATGTTACTTCACAGAAGTGTGACATCTGGATAGCCAAAATATCTGAGACAATGTCTGAATATTCACTCAGATATTTCCATCCTGGGCGTTCGCCATCAGGTGCATTTATGCACGTGCAAGGCTGACACGACCGCCAGACCCCGGCTCTTCCCCCAAGGATCGGGATTTTTGTGCGCAGAGAAAAGATGATAGACTCCTTTTTATTCCAAAGATTTGCATTTCGATACAATTCCTGTTCCGAGTGTTTTGTCCGGTGTCCCAGGGCTGAAGTTAATCCTGGACATCAGCCAGCAAGACTACATCCCCTACCTGTCATCGGCGGCCGGGGCCAGGCTGATGCTGCATCAGCAGAAGAGCTTCCCCTTCCTCAAGGATCAGGGCATCTATGCAATGGCCGGGACGGAAACCTCCATCGGCGTGTTAGTGGTATGTGTGGCATTCCTCTAGAGCAGATTGTCTGAGAATAATGTTATCTGATGGGACGGCAACCAAGTTTGTTTTAAGTCTTGGCCGAACTGGCTCAAACCAAAAGAGTCAAGGTATATGCTAGCTGTGGGCTGGAACAGTTTATGGAGGCTTTTATGTAACTGTCCTGGCAAAGTGCTTTATTGAAGGCAAAATATTGAGCTCGGGTCATTGTTCCCTCTTCCTTCAGTATGTCAGGAGGTGCCTTGCTAAAACACGCTGCTCCTGAACACCCTCATCTGCCTCGGTCCGCCCTGGGGAGCAGGCTGCATCTCCCTCAGCTCTGCTGCCTACCATTCTTGGAGTTCAAAGCCAGCGGGGAACCCGGGAATCCCAGAGTCCCTAGAAAACGGGCACCAGGGACCTGGGGAGGAACTGACGTTTGCTGTTTTGGTTTTCTTTCAGGATGAACTGGAACGGATGGGCTATCCCTACAGTGACTGCACCATGAATGGGTCTGATGTCCCTGTAAAAAATCTCTATAGCCAGTATAATACTTCCTATTCCATACAGGTAAAATACATTTTTAAATCAAACAGGACTGTTTAGGAAAAACTGTCAAAGCAGTTAAAATCTTTGACTAGCATGCAGGATTATTGGAGGATCAGCAATGACAAAGTAAAAAGCATAACCTAAACACAGGAACCTTTTATTCTGGTAATAAATTTACACTCGAGTCTGAACACTTGGTAGCCCCAGGTTTGGGAACGATCCCAGTGGGTCCGGTGGAAATAACTGTGTATTGCAGGAGCAAGACCTGACCGTGCAAGTATTAAAATATGCATCAAAAGATAAGGAACGTTATTCTGGGAGGCAGCACAATTTAGCATAAGCTTCAGTTTTCATTCTCACCCCAAACAGCTCGTAGAGCCAGGAAAGGGCATCAGCAGTTATTGTTCCCTTAGCCAGGTAGGAAAGGATGAAAATGGTCATTTCTGTCATTTTCTCAAAAGCCAAAACACAGCAACCCCCTCCCCCCAAGATCTCTGTTGTTACAGGGGACCCTGCGGTGTGTGACCTACCGGCACAGTCCTAATTTGCAGACAAAAAAGCCAATATTTTTACCTCCACAAACGAGCAGGGTTTGATGCTGGCCCTTTCCTCACAGCCTGTCTCCTCGGCGCTCGGCTCCCCGGAGCAGAGGGTTCCCGCTCCCGAAAACCAGAGCAAGCGAGAGCCGGGCGCGCCTGGGCCCCTCGGTCCCGCCGAACCCGCTGGTTCTGCAGTTTTGCCCCTTTTTTGGCTCCCCGAGCAGCCCCGGCTGCCGTCACGCGCCGATCGGGTCCTGCCTCGGCTCGGGGGGCAGGACCGCAGCGCCGGGTGGGGACCCCCCCCCCCCCCCCCCCTTGCACTGTTTTTTCTGGGAGGTGCTGGGGACCGCTGGGGCCCTGGGGTGACGGAGCCAGGCAGCAGCCCCCTCCTCCGCTGCAGGGAGAGGGCCTGAAACGGGCTGAAGCTCCCAAGAGCTTTGGCTAACACCAGTTCCTCCATACTGCAGGAAACCCTGGGAAATACTCCTCCCAGCGAGTCCAGTTGGGAGCCTGGAGCTCCCCGTCCCCTCCCCGGGGCCCCGACCTGCTCCCGGACGGCTGCAGGCTCAGCCCCACGGGCTGCAGAGCAGTTCTGCTCCTTTCAGGTTTCCCTTAAAAAAACACCCGCTCCTGCCATATCATTATGGCAATTAATTTCTTTTTCGGCTGTGGGAATACCTTTTTCCCCCCGCTACGATTTCCACGCTTGGCTGAAATCTTTTAATTACAGGCGGATCAGCCGGCGAGGGGGAGGCTGTGCTCGTTGCCGGTGCCCAGGCTGATTTCTCTGGGCCCGGGGGGCTCCGAGCAGCCGCGGTGGGACACCGAAGCCGCCGCGGCTCCGGGCACCTTTCGCCGAGAGGTTTTGTGATGTTTTCCTGGAGCGGGGCCGGGCTCCGCCGCCGGGCGCTCGGGCTCGGGGAGGGCTGGGGACCGGCCGTGCCCCCGGGCTCCGCGCCCCCGGGCTCCGCGCCGGGGCAAAGCAGCTCCCGCCTCGGGGGCTCCAGTCACGGTTATCCCGGGCGGGAGCGGCACCGGCAGGAAGGATGCCTCTCCTCAACACTCCTGCTCTTTTTAGTCCTTTTCCCCTCAAGGGAATTAAGCCACTTTTCACCCTGAAAACACCTGCTTACTTTGTATAGGAAATGAAGACAGACCTTCGCCTTTTCTCCACTTTAAAATTAGGATGAGAAAGTTGAGCGTTTGTAAACCTTGAATCTGTAGAAAAATATCGTGTAAACATTAAGAACTGGTTAATTTGTGACAGGCTAGAACATAAGAGAGAAGCATTTCTGGCAATAAGGAAAACTTCAAAACCGTTTTGGGGGTTATTTACAAAAGCCCAAAGCATCACCCCAGACAAGCGGAAGGGCTTTGGTCTAGCAGGGTTTCTTTATATTTCTGCCTTTATATAATTGTAACAGTTGGACCACTTTACCCTAGTTTCTAAGATGCTTATATAATTTTTAAGCAAATACTTGAAATGATTGCATTATTACTTAAAAGTTGCTAAACGCTGACTGGGGTTCTACGTCCACGTGATCCACGTCACTGCAGAGACCTCTGAGCCAAATCAGGCTTTGAGGGTAGTGAACTCTGCAAGCATTTCGTATCACAGAGAAATTCTCTGGTTGGTATACCTAGCTGGAGCTGTTAAATTTAATTATCTTTTCATAGACTTTGCTATTGCTTTCTGCACCGTTTCATCCAGAATCCCACTCCAATCTCGGGTGATTAACTCCATGCCTCACTGAGCTAATGGCAGCGCTGCAGCCCGCTCGCACGCTGCCGAAGCTGCGGCTGCAACCCTTTCAAGGAGAGAAGCAGATGCACAGATAAGATAATTCAGGTTTCTAAAACCTGCTCTTTATGTTGAAGTATTTTTAGAGACCTGGCTTTGAAGGGGAAACCAGCCCTTTGTCAGTATGCCATATAAAGCCTGGAGACACCAGCAGTGTCTATGGGTGTAGCAGAACACTTTTTTTCCTTAACTCCGTATGACTTCCATGAAGCCCTAAAACAGTTAAGAAATGAGCAGTTTCTTGGGCGACTGGGAGCAGGCATCGAGTTCCCTTCCGCTCCTGCGAGGCGACTTACCCACGGGCAGCTCACCGCTAGGGATGTGCCTTAAAACCTCCAGGAGCAGCAATAAAAATGCATCATAAAGAAAACCGTAACAGCAGCGTAACTCGGCACACGGCAGCTTTTCCGCAGCCTCCCCGCGCCGGCGCAAAGCCGGCGTGCCTGGTGCCGGGCCCCCGGCGATGCCGGCGTGTGCTGGGGGAGGCACTGGGGTGGGGGTGGGCTCCGGCAGCCCCCGCGGCTTCAGCCTTCTCGGCGTGCAGCCACAAAATCGTCTGCTCAGCGCGACAGAGAGAAAACACCTCGGAGCCCAGTAATTCTCAGCAGCGGCGGCACAGGGACGCGCGGGGGGGTCAGCCCAGGTCTAAGTAGCTCCTCTCCCCTTTTCCAGGCTTGCCTGCGCTCTTGTTTCCAAAATCACATGATTGAAATCTGTGGATGCGGTCACTATATGTTTCCTTTACCTGAAGGGGTAAATTACTGCAATAACGAAGATGACCCAGGTTGGGGTAAGAACACAAACCAACCCGCTTGCGCAGCCTTTCCCAGGGCGCTGGCAGGCCGGGGGGGAGCGGGCGCGAGCGTTGCCGCGGGTGGGAACGCTTCTGCCCGCGGCCGCTCGGGCCGGTGCCGGGGACACGGGGCAAAACCCGGGTCCTGGCCAGGGGCTGAGGGCTCGGCGCTGCCCCGGCAGCTCTCCCGGCCGGCCGGCTCCAGCCGGGAAGGTGGCGGGAGCCCCGGGGTGCCGGAGGGAGGGAGGGAAGAGGGGGCAAGGCCAGAACAGGTCGGGTCCCCAGCTGAGCCCGGGCAGCGGCGAGCGGCTGCTGCGAGGAGGCCAGGGCAGTGCCAGAACCACTGCCATCGGGCATAGCCCGCCCTACAGAAACTGTCTGCAGAGCATTTACATTTATTTTTAATTTATTATTAAACTGCCTGACCGCTTTGCCCGAGTTTCTCAAGGAGAGGAAGGTCAGAGGGGAAGACAGCAAACCTGTGCAGCAGGTTCATACCTAAATAGTTATTAAATGAAATTGATATAAAGCAGTAATAAGGGTCCTTATCTAAACAGTTGCTTTGATTTTTTGTTTTCACCAAACAGCGTATTGCTATTCATCACTGAGATCAAGTATACGACACAGACAGATTTGCATTGACTCTTGCAAGGAAACGTGCAAGTAAGTACCCAAGCCATTTCTGGCAGCCCTAAAGCTGGAGGGGATCCTGCATTTCGTCTCCCATCAATTCTGACCTTTTCTGCATGAGAGCTGAAGTTCCAGTGACTTCAGAGACAGAGAAACTTCTGCACTAATGCTCTTTTCCTCTTCCCCAGCGACACGCAGTATAAAATGACCATCTCCATGGCAGACTGGCCATCCGAAGCTTCGGAGGTAACACTGATTTCTTGTTTTGAAACGCACATTAATAATTACCTGCGTTTAGCCCCATGAATCACTCGGTGTTTTCAGAGCTAATGCCCAGGTAGCGAGCACCTCTGGGCTAAATTACACATTTTCAGCGTGCAAACAAGCAGGTAGGCTGGGGCAGAAGGATGCGATAAGGGCTCACGGGCTGCCTACAGAGAAAATGAATACTCCGCTGGGACCAGGCGTTACGTGCCAAAGAGCAGCCGGCATCAGACGGGCGGTGCAGCCCTACCTCTCGGCCCCCGCCTGCACTGCAGCCCTTTGCTCGCCCGACTTTCCTCTCCAGGTGCCCGGTCATCCCGTGGTACTTGCGCAGCACCACAGGTGAGCGCACGGCGTCCTCCCCCGCGCAGGCAGCGCCCCGGGGCCAGACCCTGCTCGCTACGGGATGGCTCGTGACTGCACTGGCCAGAACCCATTTCAAACATTTCCGACATGGATCCAGTTTATCCCCGCACGTGGGCTCTGCGCATACGCCCTACAGAAAAACTTAATTTTTATAATAATAATCTTGAATCCTGAACCGGCAAAGCTGCAGGCGGCACGGCCCTGCTGTGGCAGCACGAGTGCAGCCGCAGCAGAAGCGCGCTCGCCCAAAGGCGCCTCCGAGCTGCAGAAGGCAGGAGCTGGGGCTGGGCGACCCGGTGCTGGCCTGCCCCACGCTCCCGGTGACGGCCTTTGCCTTGTGGAATCACATCCAACCAGTGACTTACCGACTCGCACCAGTAAAGCAAAATGCAGCTGCTGCCCCACCGGGCACCTGACATCATCTGCGAATGCAACGTCAGACCAGGTCGAGGCAGCGTGGGGAGATGCTGTGACCCCCAGATAACCACAGACTGGGAGCGGGGTGGGTGACGCTGGCTGAACACGCTACTCGGTATTTTCCCACGCTTTTTGTCCAATAGGGCTGGGTTAAAACAGGACTGTGTTACTCCCTTGGGTTCCTGCCCCAGCAGGTGCCCAGGGAGGATGCTTCTGCTTGATTCTGAATACAGCTTGTTTTCCTAGGACTGGATTTTCCATATTCTATCCTATGAAAGGGATATGTCAACAAATGTGACTCTGGACAGGTAAGTGAAAGGAGCAACCACTTTATCTTTTCTATTGAGCCTGTTAACATTAGATTAACATGAACCTTGGCGGTGGGCCAGCACACGCGTGTGCTAATGCAAAGGGAGGACAAGATTTGGTGCATGCTAGCCTGGAAGATACATAAAGCAAATCTGAAACACACTTCACATATATCCTCTACTCTCCATGGTGACAACCTGGGTCAGACAAACTGAAACGTGCAGTTAAGGTAAAAATCGGTGTGAGCAGCAGCACCTCTAATCAGTTGGGGATAGGAAGCTGGAAGCTCTGGAGCTGTGAGCTGCCGGGGTCCAGCTCCTGGCTTGTAACGTTCGTCCCTTGACACTTACAGCTCTGAATTTGCCAACAGCAGCAGCAGCGGTAGGGGGGATGCTCCAAAATTAGGGCGACTGCTGAGTTACCCTTTGGTAACCTAAACCCTGAACTAGGGGGAAAAAGAGGAGGTATTTTCCCCCAAGGGAAAAAGGAAAATAAGAGAAGCAGGAGATGGTTTCAGAGGTAGTGGCTGATCTGTACCTGCTAAGCCCCCTGTCACGGCGTTGCAGCCGCTCTGTCCGTGCGCGCAGGGACGTGAGGCGCAGGGCACCGGGGGGGGGATCCCCCACTACACCAGCCAGGGCACTTGGGAAAAAACAAAGCAAACAGCCCCAAAGCAGCTCCCAGGCGCCCGAGCGCTTCTTTGGGAGGACCTTCAGAAGCACGACTCTCTTCCCTGCGCAGCCGGTGGCACTTTTTAACTTCTTCCACTTGCCGGCCTGAAGCTCCAGCGGGCGCCCGTGGGCCGGGGGGATGCCCACGGCCCGGCTCTGCGCTGAGCCGCCGCTTGTCCCTTACAGGAACGGGATCATCAAGCTGAACATTTACTTCCAGGAGTACAACTACCGCACCATCTCGGAGTCTGCCGCCACGACGGTGAGCGCCCGTCCCCGTCCTCCTGCCCGGTGCCCCCACGCCCGCAAGGCGAGGGAGGGGCTGGGGCATCGCCCCGGCACCCGGGGGCCCATCAGGGACCGGGCTCCACCGCCCCGCCTCACTCTGCTCTCCTCCCCCCCAGATCGTTTGGCTGCTGTCGAGCCTGGGGGGCCAGTTCGGGTTCTGGATGGGGGGCTCGGTGCTGTGCCTCATCGAGTTCGGGGAGATCATCATCGACTCGCTCTGGATCACCGTTATCAACGTGATCGGCTGGTGCAAAGGCCTGAAGCAGAAGCGGGCGCGGGTGCGGTACCCGGATGCGCCCCCGACGGTGTCGGAGCTGGTGGAGGCTCACACCAACCTGGGCTTCCAGCACGAGGAGGCGGGGGCCCTCCCGGGGGACGAGGCGCTGCCCCCCGAGCCCGGCACCCCCCCGCCCAACTACGACTCGCTGCGCGTGCAGCCCCTCGGCGTCCCGGGCCCCGACAGCGACGCCGAAACCGAGTGAGCAGCGAGCCCCATCACGGGCTGCCGCCGCGCCATCCGCCACGTCCCCAGCCACCTCCTACCCTCTACCAAAATTCGGAAGGGACCGCAAAGCCCCAGCTGTCCCCCCCTCCCCGCCTGTCCACTGTGCATCCACTCTGAGAAACCCTGTAATAAACCTCATAGAGTCGGCGCCTGGCTCTGGCTTCACCACGCAGAGCTCGTACACATCAGAACCGCTGTATAACCAGAAGTCACCCTTTCCTTTTAACACGCGGGTGGGAAGCACTCCCTGGTGAGAAGAGCAGGGGGGCGGCAGGGGCTGCAGCGAGGCCACGGCCCCGTGGGTCAGAGCCAAGCCACTTTCAACTTCGGAGGTGGCAATCGCCTCCCCACTGAACGCCCAGAACAGGAACAAGGCAAAAGCAAAACCGTCGCCGGACCTGCTGCTCGGGGTTTGCCGGAGCTCACGCCGCAGCGGGGCACGGCTGTTCGTGTGTGTCGGAGGCAAATACTCCGGCCTCCAGAAAGACTCAGGCGTGGGGAGGAAGCGCCAGGCCGTCTCACAGCACGGCTCTGCAATACAGAAATTAATTAAGAAGTTGGCGTTAAGGTTCCCGTTGGCAGCGGGGGCCGTCCGGCGCTGGCGAGAGGCTGACGGCAGCGGCTTGCGCGAGGGGGAGGTGCTGTGCTCGCCCGAGGTGAGGGCGGCCGGGGGGGTTGGTGGTCCCCGGGGGTCCGGGCTGAGTGGGGCAGCAAGCCCCCGGCCTTCCCGGGGGCCCACCACAACCCCCCCGGCACCTGCCTTCCTGAAGTACTTTTGCAAAACTTCAAGAGGAAACGGGATCGTGCGGTTAAACCACGCGGCTGGGAACGTGACGTTCTGGGCAGGGCGCCCAGTGTGGGGGCAGCCGGGGGGGGGGGGGGGGTCCCCATGCTCCGGCCCCCACTTGGAGCTCCCCGGGCACGGGGGAACTTGTGTGTTCCAGATTCACTGGAAAAGCCAAACCCTTAACTGCCGGGGGGCAGCTGCTCTAACGGCGCTACAGTAGGTACAAGATAACGCGTAGACTAGCTGCAGCCTTAATTCTGTGAGACCTGATTAATGAATTTTTAAAATTTTATGATTAGCTCCAAAAGTAATGGCAGCCTAAAATAACGTTTTGATTTTCTATTACTTCTGATATCTGGGTTTTTACAGACATTTTCCCATTTCACTTGGTGATCATAAGAACAAGAAGCTTAACCACTTTTTTTTTTAAATTAAATTCAGCTCCTTCAATAATGAAACAGCTTTGGAAATCACATTCTGAGCCCGTTTGGGTTTTCTGCTGTTGAGGAGGAGGGGTGAGGCTCAGGAGAGTTTGGTGCAAGTTCACAAATCCTACAGAGCCAGACAGCAGAGCCGATTTAGAAACCATGCAAAGGTCTCACCGTTGCTTCTCGATTAGTGCTTCAGCAACCCACCCAGCTGAGGCTTTCGACTCTGACAGTGCCCCCAAACTGAGGCAATGGGAAAAACCTGCACCCGGGGCACGTGCAGGACAGCCCTTCCCTCCCCGGGGTGCACCCCCCGGCAGCCCGCGGGCCCCCTGGGCTGCAGGCTGTGTCGGGGGCAGCTGCTGCTGCCTAAAGCCAGGAGCCAGGGAGGGCAGTTAGAAGCTGACGCTGCGATGTGGCAGAGCGGTTTCATTTGCAGAACTTCCGCCTCATTCCACCAACTAGTGCTTTACAGGCTTTTTGGCATCTGGAATGATTCCTCCGGAAGAAGTTTTGCCTCAGAAACATGGCCTTTTACGCATCGAGCAAACAACACGTTTTCTACACCACAGCAGAAGAGGGAGATGACACTTCCATCCTCCAGCACCAGATTCCCTCTGAACTGGAACAGTTAAGCAAGGGCTCAGCACCCAGAACTCATCCCTCACCACCCACCTGCCCAGGCTGGTGAGCAGCCGTACTTGACTCTGATCTTGATTGGGATGAGGAGGAGGAGGAAAAAAAAAAAAAAAAAAAGGTAATTTACAGCCATCTGCAGCCAGAGAATACCTAAATTAAGGAATAAAAATCCAGATTCAGGGAGCACCTTCCTAACAAGTCCATGTGCTGCCCCCAGCCCCCGCCCCAGCAGCTGGTTCTCGTTTGCGAGAGCGAACGACCAACAGCCCACAGACACGCGGCTCCGCGGGGAACCCACCGAGCCCCGGGGACGGCGCGAGCTCAGCGGGCGCCCCAAACCGGCCGGGGCGGCGAGGGCCGGCGGCAGGCAGGCAGGGGGCTTGTAAAGACAGAGGACTCCAGCTCTTCCAGGCTGTCCCAGACTTCTCCTGCCCGACTCCTCACTTCCCTTCTCCCAAAAGGGACGCTTGGCTCCCCGAGCGCCGCAACCCCACAGCGCACCTCCCTCACCAACAAGGAGAGCTCTTGTGAAGGGGCAGCACTTCATCCCCCATCACAGCCCAGCTGGAAACAAGCACCCGACAGCCTCCCCGCCCGATTCAGCCTACTGCAAAAGCCAATACCTGACCAAGCCCTCCAAACGACTTTGCAACAGTGGAAAGACGCTGCTCCCTCCGAAAGACACAACAGAGCAATTTGATTAAAACACGAGGAAAGTGGAGAAAAAGAACCTGGGCGTCCATTCCCACACTCTCACCAACAGATGACACTGTCAACATCACTACCAGCAAGTCTGGGGGTGTGGGAATCCGAATAGCTGTTCAAACATAAAGATACGGCACCGGGACATCAGATGCTTTTCTGCAGGGCAAAGCAATTGCCCAGAGCTGGCTCCTGGCCGATGAAGAAGCAGCACCCGTGAGGGGCTCTCTGCAACGAGGGGCTACAGAGAGGGGGGAGGCAGAGCAGTTGTCCCAGGCCAGCCCTCTCCGAGGCACCCTGACCGGCGCCTCGGCTGCGGACATCCCGGGCTGGGCTCCAGCATCTGCTGCCACGGAGCTGGGACGAACTGGAAGGCAGCGGGAGGTCTGGGGCCGCGGAGCTGGCAGGGCAGCCCGCACCCTCCAGCTCCTCGTAGCTTTAGCCCCCCCGGGTGCCCCCCCCCGGGCCACCTGCCCTGGGAAACGCAACAGCAGCAGGCAAAGAACAGCCTCAAAAACTCCTCACCTTCTGGTGACGGGGCAGGAGGGTGGGAGAGGCACAAAGAGCGAGATTCACCCGTCCCACAGCAAGGGTAAATCGGAACAGCACGTTCCTGGGCAGGACACGGACAGTTTGCTATTCCAGTTACTGCTGGTTTATAGAGGGTGTCTAACAACTAGTAAAAGTGGAAAGCGTCTCAGGTGCTTGACTTGGGCTCTTTACCAGCTTGGCGCTCTCCCCCAAAGGGACCGGTTGCAGATAAACCTCTGAGTGCAGAGGGGCCTTTTCCTGCTGCAGCAGCAGCGCAGCCGCTGGAGGCTCAGCTGGGCTCTGCACGGGACAGGGACAGAGCTCCGCGGGGGAAAGGCTTCACAAATCCAGCCAAACATGACACCTGCGAAGTCCCAACTCCACACAGAAGCCAATTTCCAATTCAGCTGGGGATTGTTTTTTTTAATAGACTTTTCGTACCCTGAAACAAAAGAGTCAACAACTAACTGAAAACCTTGCCAAGAAAAAACAACCCCAAACATTCCAGAAAACACATGTTACTTCCCTGCTCTGAAATTTTTTTAGGTGCCAAAATTTGCAAAACCCCCGAATTGTTTATAAAGCACCTCTGCCCTCCTCACCTCCCCAAACTGCAGTTTGGCAGTAAAACATCACCAAAGTCCAGCTGGGAACAACAAAGGAATTCAGTTTCACTCAAAAACCGGACTGCTGGTAAAATATAATCCTGTATGGGCACGTCACAAGTGTGCTACAAAACACAGAAAAGATGCTGGTGTGACAAAACCAGAGATGGGACACTGTGCAGAAGAGGCAGCTCTGGCAGCCAAGCACAGTCACCCAGGGGAGAACACATCAGGCAAAGGAGTCCCAGGAGGAGGACCACAAATGCAGCAACTCTGGGACAAGAAATGTCAGCTGGCCAAAGACAGAGGCTGCCGGGGGGGGGGGGGGAATCAAAAAACAACAGCAGAAAGATCAGTGGGTCAGGCTAAACACTGATTAGAGCAGCCTGAACCAAGTTGAGGAAAGAAGAGACCAAGACATGGACACCAGGTAAAGAATTATTTGCCCAAGGCATCTGGTGGTAAAAAGGAGAAAACTGCAGAAGCAGATACAGATAAGGGGAAGAAAGATGCTTTTTCCCCTCCAAAACAGAAGAGTTTGCATGGGAGGGTTTATGCAGCAGTCTCACGCAGCTGGCATTGCAGTTTTGGGACCTCTCTGTATTCTGTCCAGTTTTCTCCCAAGAAAGCATACTTAGGCTAGACAAGTTGTTTTACAAAGATCTATACACCAAGCTTTAATAAATTCTACAAGAAAGCAACACTTCATTAAATTTCTTATAAACTTCATAGCTTTCAGTAGAATACATTAATTGCACAAGGAACAACCTACAAAACTGGTTTTATTCTCAGGCTTGAGCTTGATCATGCCCCATCTACCAGCTGATGAGACCGTCTTCTTGACTCGGTGAATAATGACAGACTTGAGCAATGACAACTGCCTCAGGTAGAAGAGCTTCCAATCAGTCAATCTTTGTTGCACCTACCCCATAATTTTCGATTCAGAATTGATTAAATTTTCTGAAAAAGCCAGTCATCTCACCGCCAGGAAGCATGAACTCTCCAGCAACCAGCAGAACATTTCTAGTCAGAAGCCAGCACTGCTCAGCCCACCCATGGTCACCCAGGTAGTTTTTGGTAAATTTGGCTGTAGGACATCTTTCCTTATTTCTAAGGATGGAAAAGCGGAACAAGCGTTCCCTAGACCAAGGCAGCCATTAAAAGTTATTCAGAAATAAATTCCCCTGATCCCCAGAGACGTTTTCACTGTCCTGGCAAAGTTTATAGGGAAGCAAACCCAAGCCCAGCAGTTCAGCCCCTGCAGAGTGCCCGCCCGCAGGGCTGTCACAGCTGACACTCCAGGCCCCTCGTGGCAGCGATGCTGCTGGCCATTCTGCGGGGCACGCTTTTTGCGGCTTGCCGGTAGTCCTCGGGTTTTGCTTTCAACAAAGTTACGATATTTTGCAGCGTTCTGGACGGCTGAAGGCCAAGGGCATCCATCACGTTTATTAGATAATCTGTAAGATTAAGGATAAACATGTATTTGAACAGGTAACAGACACTGTGCAAACGAAAGTTATCCTTCGTTCTCCACAGCAGCTAGAATCCTGCCCCTGCTAGCACAAACCCGCAGAAAACAGCAGCGTGTTTGGAACCATCTGCACTGGCTGCTGCGTCTTTCTGGCTTCCCGTACACTAGTTTAGACAACTGTTTTGTTGAGAGGACAGAGGCACATTCTGCCACGTTTCAGTACCTGCACACAACACCCCTGGGGTAGCCAGTCACCACCGTCACAGATAAAGGACCACAATCGCACTTTCAACGGCAAAGAGCTAGAAACCAAGCTGGGAAGCTCTGCAGAGGCGAGCGGCTGTGGAGGCAGCAGGGAGTTCCAGCTCACTGATTCAAAGTCAGTTGGGGAATTCAGGATGGCGGGGAGAATGCCGAGCAACCAGCCTCTAATCTACTGGGCTGGTTTTAAGCAATGCCAAAAAAAAAAAAAAAAAAAAAAGAAAAAAAAAAGATTCAGGCTGAGTTCACTGGCATTCAAGCACACTTGCAGGCGAGCTGAGGAAGAGATACTGTCTGTATCCTTATTTTTGAGCTTGGCCATGGGGAAGTCAGCATCCATGATTTACAGCAAAGAAAGGACTAACTGGCATTTACAACAGCTGTAGTGGTCCTGAGGTGACGCTCCCATCAGCTTTGGATAAGGAAAAACTATTTCCTCCGTATCCTGCAGAAACACCTTCCCCAACACCTTCCATCAGTCCTCCCTCAGACACTGCGTGGCATGGCAGAAGGCAGAGATGAACAACACGTGCCAACTATCACCCATTTTGCACCTGAAAATTTCTCCGTGCTGAAAGTAGCTTCAGTCACCTAGCACCTGCAGAGCAGCAGGACGACAAGGCAGCCATAGCAGGGGAGCTGATCCTATAGGATTTGTAAAAAAAGATGCTGGTCAAGTACTCCCCGATTACTTTTAGAAGGCTTTTAGCTGATCTTCCCTACTTCAGCTATCGGGTGCCCAGAAGAAATCAACCAGTTGCCTGCTTTGTCATCCACTGGAGCACTTCCCAATGGGCCCGGCATGTGCTGTGCCCCCCTGTATGGCCGATCTGGCAGAACATGGCACGCAGATGAGAAGGGAAGAGCAGTGCCACACCTGAAAAGGTTATATACAGATCTTTCCTGCTAAGACTGGCTGGTAAGGGAATCCTCTCCGTTCAGGACTCTGACTTAGAGAGTCAGAAACACAAAGCAGTGAAGAAACAGGAGTAGCCACCAAACATCACCCTTCCCCCAAAGAGGGACGTGACCGAACATTTTGCAGAAGAGGAGCTGTGAGCCACCCCACCGTGCCGGCTACCGGATCACCGTGCCCGTGATTAGAGGAGAAACCCACACTGCAGTTTCTCCGGTTCTCACGTAGCGACAGAGCAGCCCACGTGCTACAAGCACCAGTTCTCAGGACACGGCGTGCACCGAGCTTACCGATGTCGGTGGCAAGCTGCTTCGTGGCGTGTGCTGTGAGCTCCGGTATCTGCAGGATGACTTCGCAGTAAGTTTGCATCGTAGCTCTGGCTATGGAGCCCAGCCAGTAGTCAGCCATGTTGTCCAGCTCAGGTAATTCATCTCCTGGACAGAAAACTCGTTAGTGTCAGCAGCCTCACCCACCTGCGTTTGCTGGGTTTGTAACAAAACATAATTCATAAATGGTTACGCGGCTTTTCAACCGGACATTCAGGTACTCAGTTTATCAGCTGTTTTTAGAGTGGTGAAAGCAGATACATATCCTCCCTGATACTGTACAACACTGAAAGTTAGCTCAAGATCCAAAACACTTCCCTTCCCTCTGTTACTCCTCCAGGTTCAGTAATTTCTGACGGGCTGACCGGTGACCAGGCTGGGGTCAGTGGCACTGCCTGGCATGTTCTATAGGATCATCTCCCAGGAGCAGGTTACAAACCACTGTAAGGACAAGGTTCACAGGGGGTTTTTTCAAACCCCAAAGGCATTCTGTGTTCATCAGTGTTCTGAAAATTAACGAGCAATCAAACATGTAAATGCTTTAAGATGATAAAGTAAGTAATGCGAAAAACTGAATTAAAGAGCATATTCTCAGAAGGCTACGGGAAGACTGTAAGTACAAAGCTCTATGCTTCCTTGATTGTCAGTGGAAATAAACACCGAGAAGAGATTAACCACAGCAAACCACGGTGCGCTGCCAACTGCTGGGAAACATTATGTAGCTACTGTCGTTAACTGCAGCAGGATTAATGACACAGCAGGTAAGGACAGCCACCTGAAGAATGAACACAAGCCAAAACTCAGCTTGCTGCAAGAAATTAAGGAAAAGGCACACAGAAAGAACTCCTTGTGTGCTCTGGGGAGAAAGTTTTGAAGAGGCACCTGGGCTGTAGCTGTCTGAGAGAGCAGCCACCCGCAGCACCCACTGCACTTCCTTCAGCACAGGGTGCTTAATCATTGCGGCTGGTATCTAATCACTAAAGACTCAGGTGGCACTGGAAGTAGCAGGGGAGCTCTAACGATTTTTCAGCTGGAGTTAATATAGGATGAGAAAGGAATTTAAATGAAGTGGCCAGCACTCCAGAATTGTGTCCTTACTGAGCAGGAACCCGACTACAGAGCTCAGGAACACAGGTCAGACCCTTAAGAAAAGAAATTCCCAAAGATGCAAAACCCGTCCAGAACAAGACGGACAGCAGACCAGGTTCTGACTGTGAGCTCCTAACCTTTGTACCAGAGGGGTGTAGGTTAGCATGTCACACAGGGCATAACAGTAGTTTGTCCTGGATTTAGAGAAGAGAGGCAGAAAATAAAGTTGATTAGGAGTAAACAGCATTATTATCCTGCTTGAGAACGAATGATCTATTCCTGAAGAAATGAGCTCAGGGGTTCCCTCTTTTTCTAGCAACAAATTAAGGGGTTGGTGGCTCTCGGCAAGGCCGTGCAGGATTGCGTATTTTATACTACAAGTGACTCGTGTAAAATTAAGCTTAATGGACATTCTCTCCAGATTTTGCTCATGTCTGAAGCTGGAAAGCTTCATACCAGGTTGGTTCCTGGCAGCAGCTTTGCAAGAATCCCAGCTTAGATGCTGTCTGGGGATAAGAATACGCTGTATGATCGCCGATGCAGGGCTGTTTTCCTCAGTAGATGGGGACATTACACGAGACCGTCAGCCAACCTACCAACTCACAGCCCTAAACAGTCACAAGCTTCCTCTTTGTCTGCTCCTTGCTGCACACTCCTGCCAGCTCTGTTGCAGAGTAGGCCTCCTAGGAAGTTGATTTAAAGCACTTTATTGACACGTTTCTGAGAGAAACTAGGCCAGAAGAAGAAAAAAAGGGAGTCCCTTTTCCTTGGGGTTAACGAATGGAAAAGGCCCTGCCGTGGAACCGGCCCAGAGGAGAGGGCAGGAGGCAAAGCTGGAGCAAGACTCCCCCTTCAGCAAGCTGCTGGACAGTCCAAGCTGCTCAGTGAGCTGTGCTCCAGCAGACGGGCTGGCCAGGAGCAGAGGCCACAGAAGCTAACTTGAGAAGTCTTTCAGGCCAGATGGTTCAACGGTTCCCTTCGTTTTAAGAACTGACCCCAAGTACCTCCTGTTCACTCCTTGCACTCAGAACACTAAATACTGCTCCAGCTCTGAAACACTTCAGACCCTGCACCCAAACCACAGTTTTAATGAACACTAAACTTGAATAGACCAAGCTAAAGCTTCTGGTTTGAACAAAATTGAAAGGTTTGAACAAAACTGAAGAAGTTTTACTCATTTAGAGGTTGCTCCTCGGGTATTATAGAGAGACTGTTGAAAGAAACTGCACAACTCGATGATAGGAGATGGATCTCAAATAGCTTTGTTAATGTAACACATCACACCCATGCAATGTCAAAGTGTGAAAACTTTCCCACAGACACTTCAAGTCTTTGGTTTCACCCTACCTTGTTCTGGGGGATAAGGCAGTTTTCCAGCATGTAATGCCAGCTCCAAAGCAGAATCCTCTTGAGTTACAAATGGCTCAAGGTGGAGAGGAAGTGACATAATATATTGCCCAATCTAGAATAAAAGCACAAAGAGCTGAGTCACTGAGTGAATGTGAAGTACTTTGCTAGAGAAAAAAAAGTCAACTGCAGTAATCCACACCTGACAGCAGAAAGCTGAACCTGACACCAACTCCCTAACATACATTTGCACAGAAACAAATTGGCTCTTGCTCATCATTACCCTTTATACAAGAAATAATTTTTCACAAGGTCAGAGAACCAGTCATTGAAACAATCATGTTAAGAAAAAACTGAGGGAACTGTTACTCCAAGCAAATCTTTGATCTCTGGAGTGTTCCTGGCCATTTGTTTTCTACAGTAGAATCTAAGAGGCTGAACCAAACAAAACCACTGAAGAAGAAATACATATTCAAGTGACAATGTAATAATGAATTACAGAAATGTATCACTCCCAAAAAAGGACCACGCTCACAAACTCACACATGAGCTACGTAACTTCAGGCATACAACAAATACTGGACTGTATATACATGATTATCTGCTGCTACAGAGAATCTCCCTAGGTGCAGATACAGCTCGGAGCACTCTGCCTCCCCATTATGGAGGCTGCCCATTATCAGCTTTTTCCAGAGCTCGCATCACCTGCCTTTACTGCTACACAGCACACGTGCCACATGCATTTGTTTCTAAACTCTACTTCAGTTTTTTTAGTTTTCAGTTTTACTGCACAATGTAGTAGTGTTATTTCAAAACTACCCAAGAGAAAGCCTTGGCTCAGTCTTGGCCCACCTACCACTCAGCAGCAGGGTAAAGGGTAGAGCTGAAAAGATGTCAGAAAACAAATGCTTTGTACCTTAAATTTTCTCAAGTTCCTCTTTGCCTTGGAGAGGCAGAAATGTCCTTTGAATCCTGACAGAATCAAGTAATGATCATACACATCTCAGTTTTAACTTTCAGTTAAAGTGGCAGGCGAGCAGATTCAGCCTCTTGCCAACCGTGCACATCCCTCAGTGAGCTGTGTTAATTAGAAAGCTACTTAGAATTCAGTAGCAGCCTTCCCTTGAAGTTTTACCTTAGACACTTCCCATGAGCTTTCTAAACCTCATAAAAGCCTCTGATAGCTAAATTCAAACTACCCCCATGATCCAATCGTCCCACAAACTGACTGACTAGCCGTTTCTATTATTTTCTTTTTTTTAAAGCTTTAAAAGCAGCGTATAACAGTTGGTGGGTCATAAGCCAAAGGAAAGCAAAGTATTAAGAGCTTTTGGTTGCAGCCTGTCCCTGAAAAATTTGCTCCCTGTGTGATGCACAGAATGATAGCAGCATAAAAAAACTTGCTTAGGAAATTATACTTTGTATTGAGATAATAGCAGCTAATATTAATATCTGAACTGCAAATTTGGCAGCAACTTGAAACACCAACCCGGAGAACGGGAGAGCAGCTTGAATGCTGTTCAGCAGCACCGAGCTGAGGAGTGCCTCGTCAGGAGGAATGAACAGCTCACTCTCCTTTTCCACTCAGACACGGCACTGCCAGAAAGGTTTCATTGTTATTCCATCAGAAAGAGAAACCAGGAGTCACATGGGGATTAAGAAGGGTAGGAGCTCAAGACTTCTTTAACTTCGTAGTACGATTAAATCGCTCTAACACACATTGCAGGAACTTCCCTGCTACACGAGCTGCATTAAGAAGATAGGCTCGGTATTCACCCCTACACACAAAACTTGGCATTTCCCATCCCGTCACGGAGCTAACGCTGTAAACGGAGCAGTTCCATTACAAAGAACCACTCCTTGTGCTCCCGACGTTCTTTGGTTATTCCAGAACTTGACAGGGATTTCATAAAAGATAGAATGAACGGCCCAACCCAACTGATGAGGGCCAGACCACTCAGAGCATCTGTCACCACCATACAACAATTCCAACCAATACCACAATTTTACAGAAAACTGGGGAAACAGAAGAGATTCCCCCAGCACTGGGCTTCCAGTAACTACCCCTGCGCACTCTTACATTGCTGATATATTCCAGAGGAGTCAGGCTGAAGTTTGGGAGGTCATCTGTCAGGGTTTCACCAATACCACCAGAATTCCAACCCTGTAACGCAAAATGGGCAGAATGAACGTACGAGTTTCTGGAGCATGGAGTCTACCAGTATTCCAGGAAAGGAACAGCCAGCGACACGAACTGTGACTACCCAAGGACTTCGAGAAAGCAGAACAGAGATGGTGAGAAAACGGCTGCCCTGGTCCTCCCTCAGGCCCAAAACACACACAAGCCTTCCACACAGCTCCCTGTGGGAAATACACGCTCACACGGGTTAGAAAAGCAACATCTCAAAACAAACGTCAGAGCTTGCAAACATAGCTGACTGCTGTGAGCGCTGTGGATGAAGGGAGGTAAACTTTTCCACTGACTGTAGCTCATGGAAGAAACGTGATACCAGAGGGAAACGTTCTGAAAAGGAGAAAGGTAAGCAACACTGAGCTGTACTCCACCCTAAGGTATCCCACAGGTAAACCCTGACAGTTCGGATCAGACCAATGTACCCATTACTCACCTCCATCTTTGAAACAAGTAAGAGTTGTTGTTTGATCCGAAGAAAAACAGAATCAAAAGCCAAGTGGTGTGCCAGCTGGTTGAGGCGGCTTAGGGCAGAGCGCGACGAAGACAACAGGTTGTGGTTACTTGTCCCTTTTTCCTAACACACACACACAGACACAGAAAAATGTTTACATAGAGAAATCATTAAAGTGACCACAGAGAAGCTATGTTAACATTCTTAAACGAGTCTTTATTAGGCCATCCTAATACAAAAGAGCTTTCCTCTGTAATGGCACAGCCCGTTTCCTTTGGGATGCCCTATTCCAACAAGTTATTCAAGACAGAAACTGAGCACTGCTCCCTGAAATGTAAAACAAAGAATCAGCATCACATCACATTCTGGCCATGCCAGGCACCAGTACAGGCTAGATACTGAGAAACTTGCAGAGAAGATGGCAAAGCTGCCTTTTACTCAAAGGGCCCAACCAACTGATTTCCTGCATAGAATTAAGCAAGTTTTACATGAAGGGTACCTACAGAACTTGACTATTTAGCAAAGATTTAAAGTCAAACATCTAACACTGAAAGCAGAGCTGCACAAGTTGCAGGTAAATTAAGTGCAAAAGAAAACATTCTGAGGAAGTAAGAGTAACTCATAACCTTGACTTCACTACTACATGTGACCAGCGATGGCAAACATAACTTAGATCCACGAGAAGATAACTAGAGTCATTCTACCCTGTTCACAGATGCACGCATGAATGATCTGGCAGAATTATATTTCAGAATGGATACGGCAGCAGAGCGTAAGTGGCAAAGTCTTGAGAAGCCAGTATGTGGGCTCCAGAATTTGAGATGGGTCCCACACAATCTTCCCAATACGTTCTGTGACAAAATCTCCCTCACCTGAACTGATAAGGGCATGTTCACAAAACACAGCCAGGATCTGGGGGGAGATGGAATGAGCCCAGGCTTCCTGGGTTTGGGCATTCCATCTCTCTGCAGATCAATCAGTGTCTCTGTGGAAGACTTGGAACAAAGCCCATCAAAAGGCTGCAGCTCAGGATGAAATGTCATCAGGCCGAAGGGGAATCCAGGTGTCATCTACCAAATGTGGGCACAACAGCATCCTGCGACAGAGGCAGGCTCTCCCAGGCACCACAGCTACCTTTAGAGTGTAAAGCGTTTCCATAAGGCTGGCATACTCAGATGGATTCTCCTTCAAAAGATAATTGTATTCCTGCCAGGGATTCTTTACAGAGCTCTTCTTTTCTGCAGAACTGGTATCCTGAAAGCCAGAAAAACTACAAGGGCTGTAGGAGTCCGAGAGATACTTCCCAGCAGTCGATAAAATCCTGAAAACAAGCACACAAAAGTCACCAGCAAAATCTCTGAAATCAGCACTGCTGCTCTCACGTTGGTCCAAGGACCAACACTAGCTTTATGTTTCTTCAAGGATGAGAATCGGTGGCCAGCACCAATTACAGCCAACTCTCACACCTACTGTGCAACTCAAAACCTGCAAAAATACTGGGATGATAAAGGAAAGGCTTGTGCTCTCAGAACATCTAGCAAATACAGAACAAACCCAGCCACTGCAGGCCACTGTCCCCTATACAGAGCACAGGCACTCGAGTCAGACTAGAGCATTTCAGCGTGCAAGAGGCTGAACAGCATGCTGCTTACAAGCCACAAAAGATCTGTGTGCTGCCTGTGCCCGACGCTCCTCAAGTTACAAGGAATCGATCACTTAAGGCACACGGAGATTCAGTTCAGCGAGTGATTCATGCCCCATGTCACAAGGGGGGGTGAGAATCTCGCCGATCTGATCTGGTGGAAAATTCCTTCCCGACCCCAACCTGGCAGTCCAGCCAGGTATCCTAGAAAAAGGATTCCTGCGATTGTCTCAGGGCACACGACTGAGTGGAACAGCCTGTGACCCACTTCTGACATTTCAAAAGACGGGGAGGGGCAGTGAGGGGAAATCACAGTGGCTCTGCTTTCCCTCCACGGTCTACACAACAAAAGCACCTTGGGGGGTTTGTTTTCTTTCAACTTGGTACCTATGTTGACAGGTCATGAATTCAGTTCAGCAACGCTTACCTGTTGGCCAGCTGCTGCTCAAAGTCTCCACACTGACGAAGGAGCTCACCACAAGTAGTAATTATCCTGGGAAAGAACAAAACAAAAACACATGTTGTGAGATTCGAGGCAGATATTGCCAGACCCCCTTGGCCCCCCACCACACAACCCAGCCCAGCCATGTGTCAAGCAATTATAAAATGCCATAACCAAACCGCAGTCCACAGGGTCACATCTGTCAAGGGTTAATTTGGCTACTAACTCCGCATTCATGTGATAACACACTGAATTTTTTTTGCCCAACAGTCTCATCCCCATGCTACTTCTTGTCATCGTGGCTAAGGCCAGCTCAGTGCCACTGGGAAAAATTCTAAGAGCCGCTGATATTTCGGGTGATGTGACATGCAGTCTTGCTCCAGACAGGGTGGGGAGCCTCATAGCACTTACTGTGCCAGCAGCAACCTGAAACCCAGTCACCAACACTAATGCTCCCGGCAGCACTGCAGCTCAGCGGGCACAGCCCTGCATTCTGCACTAAGAACTTGAGTAAACTGACCCCAGGTAATTCCCTTTCTCCTTTGATACAAAAATCAGTTCTGAGCTGGGCAGAAAAAAAATCACCTTTACCGGACAGAGTTTTGAAATGCAGTCCAGTCCTCCTGGAAAAGGGAATCTGATAGGACATCATCCAGTTTACATTTCTTCCGTATAGACTGCAATGTATTTGTAAAGTCAGATGTATACCTGTAACGAGAAATGGAGAAGAGAGAAGCACCAGCATGAGAGAACAGGTTGGAGAGCAGCACAACTGAGTGTCTTGCGATTTACTATTCGGTCCTCTACAAGGGTCAAATAAGAACCAGAAATATTAAAAGAAGAGGAGTTTAGAAGAGACACTCTTTCTCCAGGCCAAACACATGGATGTGAAGAACTGATCAGCCACAGCCCGCTCCAGCCTACGCTGGAAGACAGGGAGAAATGCATCGTAACAGATACTGTATGGCTACTTCAATTCACTGCAGGTGGGTTACTAGGAAGTCTCCACTCCCACGAGGAGGTATGAGCAAGACCTTTTGTTACCACTACACTAATCACATCTCCTAGGAAAGACCAGAAAAAGTTTATAAGGCTACTGCTACTCCAACATCACTTGGCCCTTACTCCAGGAACACAGTGACAACAATCTCATGAATTTGTTTTCTCAGCTACTCCCCTGATGAGAACACGGATAAAAAAGGAGAACATTTTGTTTTCCACACCCCCCCAGTGTTTTGGGGTTTTTTTTAAATAATGCCCATAAGCTGGAGGCACGCATACTGCTATGTAATTGCCTATAAAGCGGGTGAGACCAGAGAAGTGTGCTCTCCTCCTCCCTCTTCCCCACAGGGCAGCAAGGTAACAGCTTGATTTATACCTTGTGAACCGCTCTTTCGATATCAGGAAATAAGGAGGTCATCAGTACTGGAATACTATCTAAGTGGGTGGTCAGTGACACTTTAAGACAATAATTGATAGTGACCCTCACTCACTAGGGTATCTTGCATTTACAGGCAGATTCTGAATGTGAGGTCACTTGTCCCAGGAAGCATGTATTTCCCCACTGAGATCTACCTTCATCAGCCTAATTCGTCTTTGTCTTATTCTGATTTGGGAAACACTTTCTCCTCCAAAAATATTTATTAAAAATGAAAATTCAGCCCACCCAGATAGAAAACAGCTAACAAAAGTCTTCAATTTAGCCATAGCAAGCTTCCATTTTTCCCCTAAGAAATAGTCACTGGCTGAACGAAGTGGCAGGAGGGGATCTCAGATGATTCATATTATGTTTATAGATACTTTCCACTCTCAGTCATTTTGCATAAACTACAAAGTCCTTGGCCACAAACTGAATACTTGCTACTCCCTTACAATAAATGCAGCAGTGTAACTACAAGCACCTTACTTTGTGAACAGAGCTTTCAGGGCCTTAAGGAGCCCACACACTCCCAGTCCATCCGTGAGTTTAACGCAGTTGTCGATGGCGCCAGAAGCCAGAATGAAGAGTTTGTTGACCGAGTGGTTCAGTTCCTGGACACAGTCAATTACTTCCCAATGCTCCTAAATAACAACAACAACAGAGTTGAGGCTGACTCTTCCTTCAGCGAGTGTCCAGGCATTAAAGAAAAGACATCTTCTGCAACACACTGTTCCCTCCATATCCTCCAACCTTGTGAAACACCTACGGGAGTTCCACCTTCCTGCACAGTGACTGTTAATAAAAGTCAGGCTGCCAAATCCTATGTTTACCAGGTTTTCAAGGAAAGACAGTTCTGCCAACAACAGAATCTTCTGCAAAAAGGACTTTCCTCCCCCAGATCCTGTTCTCAATAAATTCTATCGAACCTGAAGCAGGTTCCTGGTTGACAGTAGGATTTTGGTAAAGTCTTTCTCCACCAGATACACACAGTGCCAGTTATTGGGTGAAGGAGAAGAAAGGTACCTCCAACTTGACAGAACTGCTGAAATTAATTTTATTTATTAAACAACTTTTACTTAATGGTAAAAAAATATACTGCAAACAGGAAATATTACCAAAAAATTAGAGGAGGAAAGAGAACAATTACTATGACAAAGACCCTCGTATTTAGTAGAAGCTTCAAGCCTCTCTCTGTGTAGTCGAACAGACTGCTGCATTACCAGGGGCACTGCGCTCATCTGAATGAGGAGATTTTCTTCTTCCAGGTCTCCATATTCAAGTTGATAGGGCTTGTACGGACCATACACCGCTTCCACCAGTTCCATCACTTTTACCAGGTTCTGCTCCTCTACAAAGAATCAGATGTTTAGTCTACAAATAGATCAACGTGCTGCTAAAAACTTTGTTTCAAGCAACACGCAGTAGTTCTTCAATCAGAGCATGCTGCCTACACAGGCTTGGAATGCTGCCCAACAGCTTTAAGTCTCAACTACACAGATGATTTTTTTTTTTCATTTTTTTTTAAAAACAAGGTTTTTATCTCTACCTGCTTCCTAAAACCAAGATGTTCCACCTCAACAAGTGCCTCAAGAAAATGATCACTCACTGCTCCAAAACAGCCTGGGTGACAAAAATCTATTAAACGTTCCAACCTACAGTAAAAAGAAAGTATTGAAACCATTTGCGAAGCAAAACACATTACTCCCACAACTTAAAACGGGGGCAATCCTCATTTATCAGAAAACCTGGTTCATACTTAAAATAACTGACACTAACTCAGTTCACTTAACACTACTACTTCACGGTGTTCATCGACCATGAGCTTAGCATCTCAGTGCCATTCTGCTGAGCAGAGAGCTGCAAACCCAAACGAAAACCAGGTGTGAGTGATTATTTCTCAAATCCGAACTGGACACCAGCTGCTATTGTGAAGATCTGCCAAACTCAAACTAGCAGCAAACTGTAGTTACTTTGAATCCTGCATATAATAAAAAAACTTGTATGCCCTCAGGTCAGACAAGCAGTGGCACAGGTTGCCCAAAGCCTGGGCTATTTCCGTGTTTGGACGTTTTCAAAATCAGACTGAGCAATACCCTGAGCAACATGGTCTGACCTCACAGCGGACCTTGCTTGGAGCAGGAGGTTGGACTGGATCATCTCCTGAGGCCCCTTCCAACCTGAATTATTCCATGAATCATAACTGAGCCCTCCCCTCACGTACACATACGTAGGAACTGGTTTGGCTCTGTTCTGCGGAGTCACCTGGCCCTTCCACTCTGGAGATTTTTCTCTTCCCAAACATCTCACCCCACGGCAAGAGAAATGGAAATAAGAGTTTTGAGGTTTTTTCTTTTAACACACTCAGGCAACAGTTCATCAGCTGTCTTCCTACTCCATCATCTTCTAGAATTTGACACCATTTTTCCAAGCTCTTTTTAATCATTTCTATTACGAACCACACAGCGAAGCCAAGGACAGAAAGTGACTGACAAGAGTACGCAAGCACAAAGACAACAAAAACAGACACAATGACAGTCATACTCCCTGAAATTGCCCAGTAATCATAATTTACATGATCAGGTAAGAATCTGGGTTTGGCTATGAGGAACCAAACACAGGAAACACAGCATTAGGAAAGCTCCATTAGCTTTAATTTAGGATTTTCCCATAACCAGTCTTTGAAGGGGTTCCACCAGATTAATAAAGGACTATAAATAGCCAACAGTTCAAGTCGGGCATAAAGCTATGTAAACACAGCACCTCACTACTTTGTGGTTTGTGGGAATTATTTATCGAGTCACAAAATGAGATGACAAACATCTTAGGGTAAGGAAAACAGAGGTTAGATTTTGAACCAAACATTGAGGATGCTGCTAGGGAATAAACTACCAGCGGTTCAGAAATTGTAGTTGGCCCTGCATTTTCACTCAATTAAAACACAAGCCAGTAACAACAGGAAAACTACAAAATAAAATTTGAGCATCCAATGGATGCAGCTTTCAAGCAGGTTTTCACTTGTTTAATAAGGTGTGGCTTAATTCCAGGAAACTCCTCAACTTTAATGCTTTGTGATCTTTCACAATGGGTTTCACGGAGAGCTTCCCCAGAGACATTTCCTCATCCATTAGACAGAAGAAATAGTAATGTTTGTAAAAGGAAAAGTGATAAATATTATTTACCCTAGAGAACAAGCATGCTCTGGACACGCCTGCTTCAGTAAACTCATTCAGTATTGTGTCAATATCTTTAGCGTAAGATATATCCATATACACACACACAAAGGTGCAAATGCCATGTAACTGGTCAATACTGTAAAAGAGATAATCTCTTCCTCCATGTAAAACTAAACAAAACCCCACAATGGAACTTCACATAGGAGTTGACAGAACAGAATGACAAAATTCAGTGCAAGAGCCTTACTCAGGTTTGGCAGCATTGCTACTTCCAGCCCTTTTGCAAAGTGGATGGTGGCATCATAGAGCTCCAGCAGCTTATTCAGCTTGGTTTCTTGGCCTGTCCTCTCCACGGCAGTGCTGAGGCAGACAGGGACGGAAGGCACCAGCGCTCCCAGAGTTTGAATCAACAATACAGTCACAATCTCATAGGGGTTCTTGAAAACCTGTGGTAGCAGAAAAGCAACTAGCAAAAGCACATCACCTCAGAGGAGCACAGCAGGCAGCAGAGAGCCGCAGCCAGCTTCCAGAGAGCCCCCCAAGGCCCAAACCCCACGCCGCCGTCTCAGCAAGGGCAGTGGCCGCTCCGAACGGCCGGTCCTGCCTGTCCAGGGGCCGGTACCTCCTTCAGCCCTCCCGAACACGGGCCGAGGGGGCAGAACGGACGGCTCTGCAAACGCTGGCAGCAGGCAGGCAGGCTGCCACGACCACGCAGTAAAGATCTGGGAGGGAAAGCAGCAGCAGCCCAACCCGGCCTTTTTCACGCCCAGCACAGCCTTCTGCGCTTCCTTCTATTAAACGAATTAATATAAAGTTACCTGCTGGTGAGAGATAGCGATACACAGATCCGAGACGATGACATTTTGTGCACTAACAGATCACAAAGTCCTCGGATGACATAAGCTCCCAACCAAAAGGGAACATAAACAAATTTGGAAAACCTCTCAAGGGGTGAAAAAAACCCCAAGAGGTCTGCCAAGGCTGCAAGAACCTGGCTGACCTGGCACGTACGACAGCCTGATCACCGAAGTCTAGGTCAATACAAATTGACCGTTGAAGCTGTGCTTTGAATATAGCAACCAAGAAACCAGAAGATAGGAATAGGTCAAAAACTGAATTCAGCAGAACACAGGCACCAGAGTAATTTGAAAAAACACCCGGCAGAAAAGGGCATTTGAAAACAGCACACTCAGTTTACATCGGTGTGTTGGGGGAAAAACCCACACGTATCAGTAAAATATGAAGAAAGAGTATTATAACATGATCCAAATCACTGGTCAGGTAGGCAGAAGTTACTACTGGAAACGCTAGAAAGACTGTCATCAGCTGAGAACTTCTATTCACATGCACCACCCTCAACTCCACAAGCACAAAATGTGTTACAGCCTTTTACTGTGACTTTTTTGTCAGCTGTTCTCGCTCATTTGCTTTGAAAGCTGGGATCACCATGAAAAAGGTCCAAGAATTCTTCAGAAACCAGAAGCAACACAGGAAATTGAGTGACAGGAGCTATGCCCCATGTGCCATTTCTCTCTCACAATCCCCAGTTCAAAGAATATCTGCTAAAATGTAAGCTGACATCTGACCTGTAATTCACATCGAATCATTAGGCAGAAAAAATACATTTCAAGGAAACACTGAGCTCCTTTGCAGCACAGGCCTCGCACCATGAAGATAAGAATCTCTTACCCTTCATGGATGAAAAACTGTTACAGGCTCAACAATATGAACTTATTTCTTCATTTCACTGAAGGAAAATCACTTTTCTGGATCCTACATTATTCTCGGCAAGAAACACACGTACACAGACGCCAAGGGTTGATAGCAGAAGCCCTCAGATATCTTGCACAGAGTGACATGAATCAGTCCAGTATGACCTTGAGGGCTTCCTCCAGGCCAAGTGATAAAGCAATTCAGGCATTTCAAATGTTTTGCAACAGAAGACATTTGCAACACCGACAAATTAGATTTAACTTAAGATACAGATGAAAGTGATAGAGCAGCTTTAAGGTCAATAACACAGCAACCTTGCTGCTGGTAGAACACCAGCAATCAGATCTCGTCTGCAAGAGCTGGACAAGAAACTGCAAGTAGGTTGCAAGCCCTGTCTTGCACGGATAAGGCAGAGTATAGCTCAAGGGTGAGCACCGATGAACTATTCTGAGCTTTATGGGAATTAAGAGTGTGCTCCATCTGGTCCTCTCCCACAGACCGCGCCAGTATCAGTCACGGCACCTGCGCTGCCCACTGGAGCTGTGAGTGCCAGGTCCCAAGGAGCGTGTCATACAGTTCAGTCAACTGGCGATTTAAGCTTAAGTCACTTTGGCAAAGATCCTGCCACACTGCCACCAGCTGCACCTGCAGGGGGAACAAGAACCATCCTAAGAGGAGAACTGACAGTCCACAGACCCAGCTTTTGTTATTTCAGACCAAGAACTTCCCATGCAAAGCACTTCTGATAAAACACAATGCCTACCCCTTGCTCCTCTCTCCAGATCTCAGCATAACATTTTGCTATAATTCAGTACCACAGAAGGAAAAGACTTGTGGCATAAAGCTAGAGGCTTCTTAGTTGATTCAAAGATTTAATTAACATTGGTATTTACTCATAAAAATGAGACTGTAACTGATACCCCCATATAATAGTTGAAATACTTGGCAAGCCCCAGCCTTGAACTTAATCCTCAAAAGTCACAGTCACGAGAGAAATTTGAGGATCAGGTTATGGCTGCAGAACTGTCTGGAATTCCAACTTTTAATCTTACCTGAAAAGAGTTTACAGAAGTCAGCAGCTGGCAAGTTGCAGCAATAAAGTTATTGCTGACATAGCCACATCCAAGAAAAGCAAAGCAAAACTATAAGGCACGGAGAAATCAAGCAGAACGCACATATCCTATGTCTACTGCAGGAAGGAACACAAAGCCCTGAACGGAGAATTACTCTTGAAACATGGGGAGTAACCAAAGAGCCAGAAAGAGAAATCATTTCGGCGTTCGACTCCCTTGAACAGGTTCCATCCTCCAACAGAAAAGGTAAAATACATAATGGAGCAGCTCCCCCTGCAGTCCAAGCCAAGCAAGAATTCAAATTTTGATTCCTCCATATTAAAATATTATCAAAATACTTACCTTGTGACATTTATAATAATAAGCAAGAAGCTGGGGCATCCGATCAATTTCAGTGAAGACTTTAACAAACGTTTTTGCCTGATCTAAACAAAACAAAATAAAGGCAGTTAACAGGCAGTCTCAGTCTGAGGGTGACACATTAATCAAACGGAGCACAAGAGTTCTTCTCTTAAGGGAGCATGCACAGAAAGACACTTCCATCCTTTGTTTGCTTATCTTCTCAAACAGGAGTAGAACCACCTAAAACCTGCACTCAAACAAGAACAGGTAGCAGATACGAGGAATGAATTTAACTTCTTACACTTAATTTCTTAACCAGCAAACGTAGCATTAAAGACAGCTAAAACCAGAGCATTTCCTAGAAGAAAATCATTATTTTCCAGAAAGAAGACGCTATCTACAAAACTCAAACATACCTCACCAAGTCCTCAGCTCTGCTTTCACCACTCCTCAAACTGATGCCCAAGGTACCTGCCTCGAGACTGCTAACGGCACAGTTGGCTCTTACACAAAGCTTGACACCCAAGCTCCTCAAAAGCCTGTTTTGTACTGTAAGGGGGATGACTATAGTTCTGTACACAAAACACATCTGAGGTTAGAGAAATTAGTAAAGAGACCTTGTTTTTCAAACAGGACCCAGAAAGCAGAGAAACTAGAACACCAAGTAACCTGAAGTGCTCTTCAGCTGTGGAAGTCACCGAAAACAGAGTCTCTGGGGATATGTTTGCAGATCTGTGGACTTCAGGAAAAAAACATTACTTCACTGTAAACAGAGAAACTCTCTTCAATGGGAAAAAAAACAACCAACCAACCAAACAGAAATAATGTCTCCACATGCCCAGAATAGATTTTGAAAGTGGATGCAAACAGTGTTTTAAGTGAATTATTCTGGACAGTATGGCCAAGCAAAGGACCTCATACCAGCAACCTGCTGCCAGCAGCTTCCCCGCATCTCTGTGTTTTCTTTGGTGGAGAACTCTGAGAGCCTATGAATATTCAATTTACTTTTATCCTAAGCAGAGAAAATATTCCAAAATGTCATCCTTTGCCTTGAATTTGTCTGTAAAGGGTCATGCACTGCAACAGAAGAGAGGCATGGGATCCACTGTGAAGGTAATGAGCACAGTCCAAGAAAAAGAAAGCTGTGAAAAGAAGAAAAGCCAGAAGAGGAATGGGAGAGAGAAGAGACAGATCTTTTCCAAGGATTAAGCCCATCTGTTAGAAGCACAGCACAGAGAGCTTCTTCCCTTCTCCGTTCCCTCCAGCTGTCTGCAGCTGTGCCCTGCGGCCCCTTGCCTTTACGCAGACAAGAACTCCAGAGCGCTGTGCAGCAAAAGCACCACCACCCCAGACCCTCACTGGGAACTCAAGGGGCACACAGGTGAGAGGCAACAACCAGAACAAGTCTTTTTCAGAAGCACTGTGACAGTAGGAGAAGGAAGGAGGAGCACAAAGAACAGTCCAAGAAGTCAATTTTTCTAAAGGAGAGTTTATAAAACAGTTTTTACAAGGTAGCAAGGAGCCAAAATGTTTCCAAATAAACTTCCTTCTTGATTACAACACCAAGCTGTAAGAGAAATGCCCAGTAGCACTACGATAACGCAAAACCAGAGGCCTCCTGCTTATCTGAGCAGCACTCCCCACATGGAGAACATCCATGGCATAACTAAACTATGACCGCAGGGCAGCCCTGCCTCTGCACCTCCATGGCCTATAAAAGCAGCTCACGTTTTCCTTATTTCCCGTAGCAGCCACGGGCACACCAAACTGTAGGAAAATCAAAGATGCACTACGCCACAGGCAGCTGCAGAGCACATAACATTCACAGCATCCTGCTCCACCAGAAAAAGCAAACAACCCAGCGCCAGGAGCCTTCAGGACAAACTCCCCACCCAAACAACGTTTTACTCTTTAAAGACAATAACCTCTGCACTGACAGTGGCACCAAGAGTTACTGACCTACAGACTGGGAGTTAAAAGCAGCAACAATCTGAGGGCTGGCCATGGCCTCTAGTCGGTTCTTCAGAGCCTCAAGATGCACGCACTTCTCGGAGTAATCCGGCGTATCCACAAGCATGGCCAGGCTGCTCTGCATACTGGTTAGCTTGGCCGAAATCACAGACACATCCTGCCACCAGGGAAAGGCAACCCGGTTACTGAACACGACCTTAGAAAGCTTTACTGCCTGTGTCAAAGTGACGTTTTACAAACACGTACATGTTTTACAATCACTCCAAAAGCCTACTGTTAAACAGTTTTCCTGGAAAGCCAAAGGTGCAAAGACCAAAAAGAATAATGCGGTAGCTACCTGTGTTTTAAGAGTCTCTTCAATGTCTGCACTTAACGTGCTCCATTTATCTGCTTCCTGAAGTGACTCGGCAGCCAACTGCATTCTAGATTTCACTCGGTCAATCTCTACCAGCACCTGAAGGAAAAAAAAAAAAAAAAAAAACAGTCAAGGTTGCCCATCAAAACAAAAGAAAACTGACAGAGATACTTCTATTATGGAAGTTATTTTTGGCTTGGATTTTAAAAAAAGTGTGAAAAGATCATGCTGTTACAAGGAGGTAGGAGTTGGCTAAAAGAGCTAGGGATGTTAAATCAGCTCCCAAAGTCAAACAACAAAAGGTTAGTTTGAATTCTGGATTTGGACTTTTAGTATCCACTTTGCCTGAAAAATGCCACAAACTCCAGCTATCAACAGGCAGAAATCTGGGCAGAAATCAGTGTTCCAACCCGGTAAGAGCAGCTCTGTCTGAACTGAGACACGATCGGCTGTTCCGCAGGAAATGCAGATTGCACTCGTCTGTATCACGCCCACTTTTCTACTATTAATGTTAGAAGAAGTATTTTTGTCTATCTTGAGTTCACAAGACAACTTAATACGAACAACTCTGGAAACTTTAGAATTTCTCAAGTTCCAGATAAATGCAAAGCAAAACATGAACCCACCTGCATTGACTGAGCCGTGTCTTCTTCAAATTTTTTGATATCTTCTTTAACAAGGATCATTTGCTCCTTCAGGAACGTTGCCTCCTGTTTCAAGACTTCCACCTCCCGGAGGACTCGGGGCATGTTCTGGAGAGCCTGGTGGCTTGTCTCTACAGAATCACCAAGCAGTACAGTGAGGGGGGCCTGCGGACCCTTGCAGGCAAGGGGGGCTTTTTCAATAATCTTACATAATCTTCAATATTTAAAAAACCAACCAGCCCAACAACGCAAAACACCAGACGACAAAACTTCAGTTATACCTTTGAAACGTAAACACGTGCTTTATCGTTTAGGCTGGAAAAGACCTTCAGGCTCACCGAGTCCCGCCGTTAACCCAGCCCCGCCAAACCTGTCCCTAAGCCGCGTCCCCGAGCGCCACACCCACGCGTCCCCAAACCCCCCCCGGGACGGTGACCCAAACCCCCCCCGGGACGGTGACCCAAACCCCCCCCCGGGACGGTGACCCAAACCCCCCCCGGGACGGTGACCCAAACCCACCCCGGGACGGTGACCCAAACCTCCCCCCGGGACGGTGACCCAAACCCCCCCCGGGACGGTGACCCAAACCCACCCCCGGGACGGTGACCCAAGCCCCCCCCGGGACGGTGACCCAAACCCACCCCCGGGACGGTGACCCAAACCCACCCCCGGGACGGTGACCCAAACCCACCCCCGGGACGGTGACCCAAGCCCACCCCCGGGACGGTGACCCAAGCCCACCCCCGGGACGGTGACCCAACCCCCCCCCCCGGGACGGTGACCCAAACCCCCCCCGGGACGGTGACCCAAGCCCACCCCCGGGCAGCCTCCGCCGGCGCTGGGCAGCCCTTTCCGTGAGGCAATTCCCCCCCGCCACCCGCCCGGGGCAGCGGCTCCGCGCCCCAGGCCCGTCAGGACGGCGGAGCGCCCGGGGCAGCCCCGGGCCGGGGGATGGGGGAGCGGAGGGCACAAAACCCGCGCCGGCTCCGGCCCGACACGTTCACCGGCCAGCCGCGGGGGACCGGGCCCCCTCACCCTCCACGGCGTTGTTGACCTCCTGGATGAAGAGCTGCAGCTTCATCACCAGCGTGGCGGCGTGGGCGTCCACCTTCCCGGGGGCCTCCTGCTGCACGGCCCGGAAGGCCGCGTTCACCCAGCTCTTCACCTCGAAGTCATCCGACAGGAACCGGGAAAAATCCATCGCGGGGCGGGGACCGGGACCGGGACCGGGACCGGGACCGGGACCGGGACCGGGACCGGGACCGGGACCGACCGCGGCCCCGCCGCGCACCAGGAAACGCGCCGCCAGGCCCCTGCCGGCCACCGTACCCGCCGCCGTGCGCGGGGTCGGGCCCCGGGTCGGGTGGGCGGAGCCATCCGGGTTCGGGGGGCGGTCCCCGGTGCGGTGGGCGGGGCCCATCTCCGGTGCGGGGGGCGTGGCTCATCCCGGTGACCGGAGGCCGCGGCTCGCAGGCGGAGGGTCGCGTCCCCGAGCGGGGCCGGTGGGCAGGAACGGGCGGGGCAAACCCGCCCCGGGGCAACCGCCGGAGCAGGCCGTGCGCGACCCCGCTGCGCCGGGAAACATTCCCACCCCCCCCCCTCCCGCCTCCCGGTGCTGGCGGCTCGGCGCGGCCGGCCCGAGGATCCCGATGGCGGCTGGAAGCGCGGGGGGAACCCCCCCAGGCACGTCCCGAGCGCTGCGGAGCCCCCGCTGTTCTCTTCCCCCAGACCGGCCCCGCAGCCCTCCCGCTATTCACTCTCCGCCCCCCCGGTTTGCACCGTCCGGTCACCCCCATCCTCCCCAGCACCGCCCAGGCCCCTCGGAAAACCGGGCAGGGCCCTGGGAGAGATCCTGCCCTGCCTCCCCCATGCCCGCCACGAGGGCTGACTGGTGGTAATAGGTTTTTGGTTTTTTTTTCTTTTAATTCAAAAAGAAAAATAAATGGGGATGAGGGAAAAATCGGGCCAGAAAGCAGAAGGAAAGACTCGTATGGCAGAAGCGTTAAGGCTCCCGGCTGCAGGGCTGTAGAGCCTGCTCAACTTCAGCTCCTGCCCCAGAGCTCGGCTCCCGGGAAGCCGGTCACCTCTCCCACCTCCCTGAAGGGCTGCGCGCCTTGCGTGAACGCTAGTTTGTATCTGAGCCGGATGGGATCCTAGAGTGAAAGGAACAGAGAGAGGGGGCACGTCAGGGTTGCGGATTCCTGGGCCCCCTTCAGCCTCAGCCCGCGCGGCCTGCAGCGAATCGCTCGCTGGAACGGGAGAGAAACACTTCAGCCACGCAGAAGCTCCGCACGGCGCAAGACCTGGGTCTTCATAAGATATCTACGGAGCGACTGGGAGGCTTGTGCAAGCCACCCGAGGGCAATCCAGGCCCGGCCAACCCCCTCGGTGACGGGGGATTCCTTACACCGGTCTTCAGCCTCATTCACCCATGCAACAGAACTGCCGCCCAGCGCCCCTGCTGTGGGTGGCCTCACGTTCCGTCAGCTGTGAACATCTGCGCAGTGTCTACCGGGAGCCATCGCTGCAGGGAGACTGAAGGAGAACTGCGCAGGCCCCTGCAGCAACTGCCCGTCCGATTCCTCAGGTTGCAGCTCTGGAACGCCGTTTCTGTGGGGAAAACGTCTTCCCAGCACAGCCCAGGCTGCCCTGTCTCACCCCTCCACCTCCCCGCTAACACTACGCTCCCCGTCTTTCACGCAAATCCCGCCGGCACTGCAGTGGCAGTCCGTGTGCCCCACCAGCAGACCCAGCCACCACACGCACCTTGTGCGGGTTGGCGAGGAGCAGGACCTGGGAGACCACCGCGGGGGGGAGGAGAGGGCTGAAGGCAGGCAGCTCAGAACCGGATGCTGGCTGCAACTTTATTTTCATGGTCTGAAAGAGAAAACAAAAGGAACGCTTTCCGATCCATGCTGAAAAAGGGCTGGGAGTATTACCAAGCCACAGAGCTGGTTAAAGACATGTCAGCCAGATTCTGTCCTTTAACGAAAAGCACACCGTTCCACAGCCCGCATCCGAAGGCGGATATCCCTAAATAGACAATTCTATGCTGCACACACAGAGGCAGAACAAGTGCCTTACCCAGGGGGCTAAAGCAGCATGTCTGGAGCCCTGTCTAGTTGCTGCAAGGCCAGGGATACCTCTGTGAAACGGGCACCGAGGCCACAGGCACCACCATACAACAGGTTCACCGCTCACAGACAGCGAGGCGTGCAACTTCTGATGAGCAAGGCAAACCCGAAGCAAGAAATGGCAAACCTCCTCAGGACATTTCTTAGCCCCACTCCCCGCTACTCGACACAGGCTTCTCACCTTGGGGACTGCAGCCTGGAACCCTATGTCCTTAATTGGTTGAGCTGATGTGCTCAGCATGGAAAGAACCATCACCAGCACATCTGGTCGGCCAGGAGCCGGGTCTCTGGAGAAGTGGAGCATAGCCTTGAAACCATTCCTGTCGTACACTGTAAGTGGACAGATACTGCCTGCCGGAGACAAGAGGAGAATCAGAAACAAAGCATGGATTCCCCTCCCTCCTGAAGGTAGAGCAGCAAAGATGGGGTAAGGAGCAGCAAGAAGGAAACACACATACAAACTTTTACTTCCTCTAGCAAACTCACAGACCAAGCAGCATACAGCACCTGTGTGTGATTTGCATTTCACCTCTGAGGCAGAGAAAAGAATCTGAGTGTCTAAATTGGAGATTTAGCAGCTCAGATTTCAAACAGTCAGCTACAGAGGTCAGGTATGGATCCAACAGAGATACAATGGGAAAAGCAAAATGTAACTGGCACACACGAAACTTAGCCCCTTATCACCACTGCCTGGTAAATCCACACCTGGCTATCACCATCCAGCCCTTCCAAAATCTGGTAAATCCTTCACTTGAGGGATTGAAGTCAGAAGATCCAAATGTCTTTGTACGGGTCCTCTTCCAAAAGCAGCGATGGCCAAGGCTCTGCAGTCCTAGCAGGACGTGCCCTGCTCCAAGACTGGCGTGCCCTGTACCCAGGGTGACACTCCAGCAGGTGGCTGCAGGGCTGGGCCATCCAGTATGGAATTGAAAAGCAGAGGTGGAAAGAACAGCTCTGCTTTAGGAAACGGGACAACTCCCACCCACAGACAGACCTTTTAAGCTTCTGGAGAAGAACTGCTTGAAGCTCGATTAAAGGTGCTAAGGGCAAACAGTTTAGAAGCAGATCACAGAGGTTAGGCAGGGCAGGAAACTCCTGACTGCTGAACAGGGAGGACATTTCCATGGTATGATCCCTAGCACTTGTTTAAATTCTCAGATACACTAAGTCCTTCATGGAACAGTAATTACATTTCTCCAGCCAACTCACACAGCATGAAGCTACTTTGGCTTGCTCCCCTGCAAAAATCACAGAAGACCTCTAGTAAGCCTCTAGTAAGCAGAGCTGGGGCACAGAAATCATTGCACTTACTCAGTGTAATTGAAATTAAAGGGACAAAAAGGTTTTCTAGGGAAGCATCATAGGAAGCTGGATGCAAAGAGGCAGCGGGCTTCAGCTCGTAGCCTAGACTGGAGAATGAAGTATCTGCCATTGAGCTATTTGGAAGATCTGGAAAGGGCAATTTCATTGGTGATAAATCCCTGGAAAGAAAAGCACGTAGAAAGCTTATATTAACTGGGGAGACTACATGGTATATACCATCTTCTGCTGTGTCCCTTTGTATTTCAAATCCCTCATCCCTTTTAGGTATAAAAGTACAACCTTACACTCTCTTGATTCCTTGAGAAATTCAAAAACTGTCTCTATTTTATACGGAAGAAGTTGCTGTTTCAGCATTCATTAAGGCAGACTTTGATTTCTGCTACTGTCATGAAACTTCGTTCTGGGGCTTTGGAAGTCTACTCTCCTAGGCACAGACTCTCTGGAGCTCTAGTGAGCGAGATTAAAGTAAGTTCTAGCTCAAAGACAATGCAAGAAGCTGGGAATCTCCAGTAAAATTTCTTGGCTTGTATTATGGCAGACTGCATACGCATATCGTAATGATCACCTGCCCTGAAGATGTGTGGATGATTAATTTGGTTCACAAACTGTTGGGCTTCCACTGAACGCCTGGAAACTACTTTGTCACAGACTGAAGAAAGGTGGGGAAAGTACTTTTTGAGTCCTGGGTTTTTATAAAAAGACCTGACTGTAAGGTTTTTGTTCCTTTAGCTCAAGATTACCTTGCTACTAAGCTGTGGGATTTGTGTCCCCAAGTTTCTGACCCTTGGAAGGTCCTAGTGTGCAATTACACAAAGTGCAATTAACAGGCCCGTAACTGCTGCTTAAGAGCCGATGTGCAGATGGATAGCTTGCCATCACTAACCAGTTGCAGTTGAAAGGTTTTCCTAAACCTCACTACTGTAAACCAGTATTCCTTAACTCCAAAGCCAGACTGTGTGACGCAGTTTGCTTACAAAGATAATGCCTTGGTCCTGGATGGTGGAGAGAGCTGATCAACCAGACCCTGAAATTCATTCTTCTCGGAAGAGCTGTCTTCCCAGCTCTCCTGCAGTCCCAGTTTTTCAACAGCACTTACAACTTCACCATATCCATTGTGTACAGCAGTCTGAAAAATAAGGCACTTCTGGTTCATGCTATAGAACATCAGCAAAAATCAGACCTGTTCCACTGAAAAAAACATCATTTTTAATAACACTAAAGTGTAAATAAATATGAGTAATCTGGTTGCAAACTGCACCTGAGAAATTCATTGCAGAGCAGGAGGATTCTAATTGCCCTTCAGAATAGAGTGGTGTAAGAAAAGGCTACCAGAGAAAGGTAGATCAAGAATCATGCCTGATTTTTGTCCTTTGTACCTTATGGACTACAGTATCTGAGGATCACTCACCTCTGCTAATCCAAAATCAGGTGGTGGTTTCTGTACAACAGGTGAGTTGCTGAGATCTAAGGAAGATGCCAAAATGCCACAGATCAATTACAGAAAACAAGGGTTTCCCACAGGTTGTTCCTTTGTTGTCTAACAGCAGTGCGACTCCAGTCTAACGCCATTAAAGAAACGATATTCTTGAACACTTATGACACCGGCTGAAAGGGTCTACTTTCCCTTAGCACCAACACTAAAGTCCAAGTTCTCCCATCTTTATTAAATGCCACAAACCCTAGAAACAAGGATAACACCGTACGGAACTGCACATACAAACCTAATGACTCCAACTCCTCATCAAGCAGACAGGTAGAGGTTGTGCTGCCGTGGCGGGAGGTGGTGGTTATGTTTGCAAACTGGTCTGCAGGAGACTGGGACGTCATCTCCAGTTCAGAGAAGTCAATCAGTGTATAGCTCTTCATGCGTCTTGGGGCTGGCCGGCATGCTTTGCAAACAGAAGGAAGAGTTAAAGAGAAACCTCCTGAAGGGAGCAGCCTATTTATGGGTGCAGGCGTGCCCGAAAGGGCTCACAGCTGAAGAACTCCGGGAATATTTTCTATCAGCCATATGTCAAATAAAATGACGGTTATACAACAGTTTTCCTGTGTTATAGGGTTTTCTCCATATTTATTCTCCGAAGCATGCCCCCTCCAGACCCCACTCACACATGCCAGGCAGGAGCAGAGCTGCTGTGGAACGCTGTGGGATGCTCGTTACCTGCTGCATCAGCAGAGCTGGTGGCTGAACCTCCTCCACCACCATCGTCACGGCTGGCGACAACCTGCCTGTACTGTCCGAGCGCCTGGGCGAGCTTGTCATTGGCCTGCAGTATCTCAGCTGGAAAACAAGAGAAGCAGCAACCTTTTGATGCTGTAACACGAGGGTCAGTTCCACGGCACTCTCCAAACTGCTCATGAGAAAAGGACTTGCCTGGAGCAGTCTAGCAGGGCAATCTGCCCCGAGCTCCGGACTAGCTTTTCGTCCTGAAGTGCAGCATTTTGCACATACATCTGCTGATTTCAGGCCTCTCTCTCATTTAACAAGATCACTTTGAAATCTGATCCTGTCTCTAAAGTACTTATAGTTCCTGCCATCTCTTATGCACTTTCTTGTTCTCTGCAAGTTTTCCGAGTGTACTTGAGTCTATAATCCAGCACTCCACAGCTGAAGAACCCTGGCATTCATGGGTATAAATTAAATGTTTGAGGCACAGCTGGGTTCTTACGGTTGCTGTTTAAGATGTCTGTTCAGGAAGGCATCACTTCAGCCAGCTTTTCAAGGCATATGGACAAGACTGAAATGCAATCCTCCGGGAAGGGCTAAATTTCACAACTGTGGAATTCAGAGATTCTGCTCATATGACCCTCCCCAGTATTATACTTACAAAATTCAACAAGTATTCTCCCTTCTCTGTTTATAGACAGGGAGAACTTCAAGCTCTGTAGAGAAAGGATCTCAAGGGCCTTCAGTTCTGTGAACATCAAAACTTCAGAAACTCTGAAAACCACCTCATCTGGAAGAAACTGGATTCACTGTTTAACTTTGGGCTCCAAGTGAAAACCAACAGCTTCCTTGGAGAGGAGTGGGAGGAGACATGCCAATTCCCACGGGCCTGGTTTAAAGGTGAATGTGGAAAGCCTTGCCAGCAGGGTAGCGAGTGCCTCAGCATTCCCCCTCTGAGAGGAGGGGCAGACCCCACTTGTTAAAGTAAAGGTAGACAAACTTAACTGCAAAGAAATCCAAGGACAGCACTGGCTCTTACCTAGAGCCCCATCGTCATCAACTGTCTCACTGGCAAGGCGAAAGAGCAGCGGCCTGAGCTTCTCACAGCGTTGAAACAGAGTCTGTGGAGGGAAATGTTTCATGTCAGGAGACCCCAGGCACTCTCACACGTCTCTGTCTCCATGATCACCTGTACGCGATGCTACCTCTAGAAGAGGAAGATGCACTTTTTGCCCAGGGCCAAACAAAGGGAATCAATGCTGCCCATCGCTGCCCTCTTAAAAATCCACGGTGGCCTGGAAGTACAGCCACTGGAACAAGGAGGCTGTGCTGGTATCTCCTCAGCAATCACAAGCTCTCGATGTAAGGCAGACCAGTGTAAAATTACTCCATTTAAAGGAAAAAGTATCCAGGTGTGCCTAGATCGATCACAGTACTCGGAGGGAAGTGTTATGACCATCAGTTGTACCTACTGCCAGCCAATGCAGAGCTGCTTACGGCTCTCTTCTGGGTGTTCGAGGAAGTGAGGGGGCACGGGGGCAGCCACTGTCTCAGTCTGAGAGTGGGATCTCCCCCATCTACAGCAGCATCCCTCCCGACAGCACCTAGCTCCAAATTCTGCCATCACACATAGCCACACAAGTTCTTACCTGCAAAAATTCAGTTGCCTAAAGTTTTTTTAATTTGGTAGGTATCCTAATGGAGTTTCAGGTATTTGGAGGCCATAAAGCTATTCCAAGAGAGCCCTATTAGTGATATCAAATGTTCCCTCGATTCACTGATTCAGTGAATTGAGCAGCAGCAGGCCAGTGAACTCCGGGCAGAAAAAGGGGAATCACAGAAACCATAACACAAGCTGAAGAACCCACAGCTTTGAGCTTCTCTGGTCAGATCTCACCACACCCACCCAACCATGCCCGGGCTCAAGGGGATTCCCACGTGTTACACCACTGCTGGAGGAAGAACCATTTCCCCGTAAGATACCACGAGAAGAGCAGTTAACCTGGACAGAAACTCAAGCCAGCAGAGCAGGAGACGGTTCCATTCCAACTTCCCTTACACCAACCGGCGGGACCGTTATTTGTTAAATATGCTGGACACGGTTTGGCGTGGTAACGCCGTCTCCCTGGCAGAAGCTGAGTGCACGGTGCTGCCCTTTGAATCCTGGGCCCTCCCAGGCACAGCCACTCAAAAGAACCTCTTATGCAGGAAAAAGAGCATTTACCTGTAGGGTCTCCTGGTCAGATTTGGATAATTCTTGTCTCTTGTAGTTTTCCAGTAATTCATCCATACGTTTAACATTTTCAGAAACCTCACTGATGGTATTCACTCTTCTGGACATCTTAGCTGACTTTTCTTGTTCCTTTGATGAAAAATTAAATAAAAGTAGATGATGATTTGACTAATACAGCCAGTGCACATGCTGGGGCACTCTGAATCACACTTGTTGGGGAGTTGCTTCCTACTAATATCCTATTGCAGGTAGAGGAGGCACAAAGTGGGTAAAGACTCACCCCCCTGAGAGCTCCACATCAGTGTTGCACCCACCACACCTCCCTGCCAAGGGTGGTGACAGAAACCTCCTGCCCCTGCCAGGGTGCTGGTGCATACAGAATTCATTTCACCACAGGCATGAGTAAGACTTCAAAATTAGAGCTGGGCATTGGTGGCTTCTGCCATACAGAAGGACATTCTCAAAACAACTGCAGAGATTTCATTAAACCAGACCAAACCTCCTATTTATGCAGAGAAGTGGGGTGCTCTTTTAGGTGGAAAATGAAAACGGACATGACAGACGTGCACACACAGAGTGTGCAGAAAAGAGGTAGTTCCGTACGGATGTGGCTTTCTTCCACCTGGGAACTGAGTTTATTTTTGGAAACCTCTTATCACTAATGCAATACTACTGCCAGGATCCCACTAACGTGGAAGTGTCCTGCCATACAGCCTGCTGGGTATATATGTTCCCTCTTCCTGGCAATGGTGTATTTTAGGGAAACAAAACAAAACAATCCCCCACTGTAACTTGGGAATAACAAATACTGAAAATCATCCCTCCTCTGGGGCAGCGTTATGATCAGGTATAGAGGGCCCCCTGTCAAAAACTGAATTGCCAAGTCCACCCCTGCCTCCCCGGCTGCAAGCACAGGCTCTGACCCAAGCAGCTCCTACCTCCTTAAGGATGCTCTTGATCAGACGGTTGGCAGCCTGCAGGTCTTCCGCGTGGTTGCTCTTTAAAAGCCTTGCTAAGAGCTGCGGAGGGGAGAGCATCAGACAGCAGTGAGCAGCAGTCTCTAGGCACTGTGCTACAGGCACACGTCACACAAGAGCAGATATTGAGAGACACACACTGTCGGAACAGTTTCTATAATCCCAGAAGTAGGTGGGCTCAGGTCCTGTGATCTAATCCAGATAATACTGCTGCCTCCTACAGATGCCTGCACACACTGTTTGGCTGTTGGGGAACAGGAGCTCTCTGGCTCTGCAGAACATCTGTGAGACCCACAGAAACCCTCTCTCGGGAAAGTGTAAGAGAAACTGATGTTTTTCTCTAAAAAAGTTTCACTTTTTATGAAGCAAGAGTTTCTGAGAAAGCATTAAAGAATTCTCTATCTGTTGTACAGCAAGAAGTATTAACAACATTTTGAAAACATTCCATCGGAAACATCAAAAGCTCCCAAAAGGTGACTGAGCCTGTTTTCTCATCAGTACAAATCAGAGTAGGGGGGTAGGCACAAAACCCCTAAGATTTACCTTGGATTTCTCTTCATCTGTGTCAAAAATAGAATTCTGAGGTCGTGGAGAAGGGGGAGGTAAAATTTTATCTTCTGGCAATTTGGGGTCTTCTTTTACAATCCCTGGAATGGGTAACGATATTTGTTCAGTGATGCCTGAGCTGTTAAAACACCAATGCTTAACAGTGCATTGGATTTTGCACCTATTTCCTTCACCCTCCCCAGAACGCTACAGAATTAAACGGAGGAGCAAGGAGGTGCCTTGGCACATGCCCAGGCAAGAGACTTCCCTTTCCCTTGTGAATTAAGCACAGGCCAAATGAGATTTTCAGGGTAGAAAGTAAGATCCGGACGTGCTGAGCTCCCTCTGGGTGCATTGCTAGAATCCCCCCCCCCCAACAGCACTGGCAGCACACCAGTACGGACCTCTGAGCAGAGGGGATCACCCGTCGGTACGGCCGGGCAGCGCCCGGCACCAGCCGTGCCCGGGGGTGCCGGAGGGACCCTCGATGCCAGCTGAGGTATCGGCCTCTCCTCCCCGGCCAGCCCGAAACAGGGACTGAGAAAAAGCCTGAGCGAGGGGTAAGGGGTGGGCAGGAGGCGGCCCCCCGCGCCCAGGAATGCCTCGCACACCCCCAAGTGAGGAAGCTCTAGCACGGGGTGGATAAGGTGGCACCGGCTGGGGCTGGGGGGCCGGTGGAGGCAGGGCTGCCCTGCTCTGGTGCAGCCTGCCAAGTCTCAAGGGCCATCTGTCCCGCCAACGACCTTCGCTTCATTGTCCCCGAAAGGGATATTCAAGTTGACACCCCTGTGAATATGCTAATAGGAATCACGCTAATTACATCATCCCATTACAGCACCTTACCCCTCCCCATACATGTGATACGTGATATGTGGGTCAGCCTAGGGGATGGGCCCAAGGAAAGTGTGTATAAATTGAGGGGGGGCAAGGAGTGAAAGAAAGCAAGAGAGCAAGGAAGCAATAGATAGAAAGAAAAAAAAGGATGTGAAGAAGCGAAGAAGGTGGATGCATCCCTGACAAACTTGGACGGGACCGACATAGGACCCCAGACTGTTGATCTCTATTTCTCTCTCTCTCTTCTTTTCTTTTTTTTCCCTTTTCCCTTATTACCATTAAGTTTCACAAAGCATACTGTATCACTTGCCATAATTCATCATATTCTTAGCCAATTATCATGTATCCCATTAGTCTATGGACTTGGAGACTTGTCTCACAGTTGTCCACTCCACTGGGGATTTGCCAATCTAAGTCACTGCTCTCCCTCATCTGAGCAGGATGTCACACAGCCACTGCTGGTGCAGGCACTGGGTCCCCGAGAGCTGCCCGGCCGGAGGGCACCCAGCACCCCTGCTCAGCACCCCAACGCTGCCCACAGCCCAGCCGCAGCAGCCGCTGCATGAAGGCAAGGCAGTGATGGCAGGGAAGCTTCCACAGCAGGACTTGGGGGAAGGCTTGCAAAGCCACTGGATGCTCAAAGATGCAGAAAGCAAACCTGGTGGGAAGCACCTAAACAAACACCCAAGTTCTCTGAACCTCCACAGAAAGTATGATGGCACTTTCTTAGTTACGCCGTGAAACTTATTACCTGGGATATCAGGGTGGGACTGGACAAATTTCTGGATTACAGTACCACTAGGGACTATCCCATGTGATGGATGTAACATCGGGCTCAGAATGTCTCTGAACCCATTTTGTGGGAGAGCACCCCAGGGCAAAGGTCACTGAGTTTGTCCTGTACCTTCCCCCCACGCAGCAGCGGTGAGCGATCTGCGAGCAGAGGCCACGCGGCTAGCCTGACCTCTGACTCAGTAAAGCTGTTCTTTGGTAAATCTCTTTCAGCAGTTACGTGCATCTTTAAAGACCCAGACAGCCTTGTAAGTGTGGCCTTTGTCCTTTCCTTCTTACACACAACATTTTAAGAAAAAAGCTGAGTCACAAATTGAAAAGGACAGATATCTGTGGTCTGAAACCATGTGACTTGGAAGGCTAAAAAGGAAACTGAAATAACAGAATTAAACCTTGTTTCTTCAGCATCTGATAAGCATCCCGGATTTTAACTTCCTGAGGAAACCAGACTGTCCAACTGAATATTACTTCTGTGACTCTTGACTTGACTTTTTCTGAAGACCAGGTTCCATAGTACTGAAAACAAAACAAAACAAAAAAGTAAGACCAAAAAGTTTAGAACCAAAGAATTAGTGCCAGATATGGCATATGGGTCTAGCCCCAAGTTGTCTGTGTGTAGAGATCAAGTAGCAAATGGACTCCTAGCACTTCATTCACAGTGTTGTCAACTGTGCATCTTGCAGCATAAGAAATGGTGTGTACAGCTGTGGCTGTAAATACAAGGAACACTAACACGTGCATGATAATTACCTAAATGTTATATGACAATCAAAAGGAAACCAGCTGAAAATTTTTCTGATCAGTTATCGAATCTGAAACCAAAAGTAGGCTGTTTTACTTTAGCGAAAACAGCTCTGTTCTCGACTTTAAATACTTCCCTTAACTGCCCACAGTGCAAATGGCACCACTGGCCTCAGCCAGACCCAGAGAAATGAAAACTGAACAAAACCAGAAACAAAAGTTATCGTCTTTATTCAGCACCTGGACGTTTTCTCCAATTTCTCTCATCATTGCCTACAAGCACTCTAGTGTGTTATAAAAACATCCGGAAGAATTGTAAAAGCCACATACAAACCTCCAAAACACCAGGCATTTTAAACTAATTAAATGATACCTGTTCTATCAAACTCTCTGTATTGATACATTCTTTAAACTTTGTTGTTTGACTGAAATACCTTTACTAAACTTGGGACTGAGAGAAGAGGTTTTGCTGTTCAGTTAAACATTTCTCCGAAACCAGCCTTTTGCACCTCTGTCATCGGGATGATGTAATGGAAAATCTGTACAAGTGGTAAATGTGTGCAGGACCCACTAAAACCGGGAATCGATTACTGAGTTGCTAAGAAGGGCATTTAAGAAAGTCCCAGGCTTGCTATTTCATGCAGAGAAGAGAAAGGCGTGAAGATCACAGTGTCTCCGATAAAAGAGGTCCCCGTTTTTCATCATGAGAGGCACTGCCAGGGGCCCCCGTGCACCCACTCCGAACTCACAGCTCAGCTGCTCAGACGAAACGTCTCATTTCTGATGGCTCCTTCTCCTCTCAGGAGGCAGCGACTGCGCTCAGAAGCCAAGTGCTCCACAGCAGGGAGCAGGAATGAATATACTGAATCTACTGAATGAACGTGCTGCGAGCCAGTGAAGAGGGCTGCGTGGGGGCTGCTGCAGCCCAGTCCCTGCTGCTGCTGCCTACGCCGATCCTGCCCCCTGAACAGGACCCAAACCCAGGCTAACTTCTGGCAGGAGAAAGCAAGAAGAGCAGGCTGAGCACAAGAGTTTGAGGAGAGAGCGTAAGAAAACATGGAGAGGCTTTGGGCAGCTCCGGGCACCCCTGTCCTCTGCCACTTCCCCAACCAAAGTTCTGTGCATCACTGAGGGGCAAAAGGGCCACAGGAACAATTTCGAGCTCCTCTAGAGTCCCTGACTGTCCCTGCAGAGTTGGGAGAAACCACAAGGAAAAAGCATTTCACAGAAAGAGACCCTGGCTTACATCTTTTACAAGGCGATCCACATCCAGTCCTTGTGCTTGGAGGCACAGAACAAATTCTGCTCTATTTCTGCGTGCAATTAACTCTTAAGTTTTCATTTCTGGTGTGAAATAAACAGTGTGTCCCACCTGCGATGTCCAGTGTAACCACGACCACCCACCTTTGGGGAAAGCACTTTAATCAGCTCATTCAGAAACCTGAATTTTGCTATTTCATTGTGAAATCTTTCACCGCAGTTATTCACACAGGTCTCTAGCACCTGCAGAAAACAAAACAGCACCAAACAGAAACTGTACACACAAGTCTTGGGGAATTTTTAAAAACTTTTCCATTATAATACTAAATCTGAGAACTTCCTGGCACTGCATTCACAAATACAAGATACCGAGAAAGTTGTGCAGCAAAAACATGCATTTTTCCTCCATCCAACCTTCTTAAACAGCATGTTTAAGTCCATCTGCTCTGTTCTACCCATCACCAACAACTTTTGGGCCAGTGGCCCTGCAGTGGGACCACAGGTCAGACAGCGAGAGCCACAGGCTGCTGAGACACCTCAGCAGAGCAGCAAGGGAAGGAACAACGGCAGTTACTCCCTCCGTTATACCCTGGTTTCCGTATTCCTTGTGCAATGGAAAGTTAAAAGGGAGAGACATCTAAGAGAAGAGGAAGAGACAGCTATACTGTCTCTACCCCCCAAACTCCCTTTCCAGTTACTGCTGCCTCTCTTTGCATGCGGATGAAAGCACTTACTGTGAGAGCATGGAGAGCTTCCATCTCCTGAGGTGACTGGATTTTATGTGCCAGCAGCCTCGGTGCAAGGGATGGGCTAGGGAGTAGCAGAAGCAAGTCAGACAACGCACAAGTTCCCAAGAAAAACAAATGTTGCTGATTTTGCCCTGCAGAGAAGAGCAACTGCCGGACTCAGAGCCTGCCGCAGGACTGAGACCCTTCCCCTGGCAGAGCCTGGGGCACCCACGGCCCCACGAGGGGTGAACTGAGCAGGTTGTGCGACCCCCGTGCTGTCCCCCAGGAGGGAGCCAGCCGGGAGAGGCTGGGGATCCCCCCGGGGGGGGAACCAGGAGAGCTGCCTCTCCGCAGTCACAGGAGCTTTGGTGCCCAGCCCCAGGCAGCCGGCAGACTGCTCCTGTGCACACCCACTGCTGGGGGAGAGGGGGCTGCTCCGCGGGCTCTGAGGGCAGGGGCGGCTGCTCTAAGGAGAGACGATCGCGAAGCTTTGACAGGTCATCTGCTTCATTAGGTCCTGCTCAATCCCACAGAGCCGAGACGCTCAGCCGGAGGGTGGGAAAGCACCAGCAGAGATCTCCCACCTCTCGGAAAGGAAAAAAGCCGAGGCTGAGCTCACTCAGGGCTTCCCTGCAGAACCCACAGCAGGCATCCTTGGCTGGTCTCCCCCGGGGCTGGCGAGGGCACAGGGAGGACCTGCTGCCTCGTGGGCTGCAGCGGTGAACATCAGAGCCCATTCCTAGACATCGACCTCCAGCGCATTGCCGTACACCCCTCTGCAACTTCCTGACACTCTGCAGAGCAGCAGAGCCCAGCGAGGGCTCCCCACGCCGCGCCTGACAGGTCCCATTCCCCCCCGCAGCCATAAGAGAAGCTCAGAGCCAGACACGCAGCCCAGAGCGAACACAAAGAGCCGTCTGTCTGCCTTACCCTTCTGTGTTGGCGTTCACCTGGTCACAGAACCGCTGGATGCATTCCCAGTTCTCCTCGGCGATACTTGGGTCAGTGGCCTTATCTTACACAGGAGGGAAAAAAAAAAAAAAAAGAACAGAAAGAAAAAGGAGCCTCAGTGCGACAGGCATGCGAGTGAGTGGCACAAGGCAGGAAGCAGCTCAGACCTTGCGTTGCTACCAGCGGCTTTAGGGCTTTTTGTAAAGGAGGCAGGAATGGAAGACGTAGGACAAGCAGGAAACAGCTGTTACTAAAATCTCCCTAAAAATACAGTCCTGACTACACACTTTAAAGAGCCAAAGTCTTTAAAGAGTCAAAGCCACAAACTGATGTGTTGAAAGCAGCAACAGCATGATGTTGCTTTTAGCACAGGGCACGAGAAACTGCTAAAAAGCATTTTCAGGCAGCTCTCCCTGGACGGAACTGCAAACCTTGCCGTGGAACCGTTTACCCTTTTGCAACAGAGCTGCACGAGTGCCCCTCCCAAAGCTCTGCCTGCACGGCTGAATGGAGGAAAACAGCCCAACAGTCCTTCTGGGCTTTATCCACTGCCCAGTGCAGCGCTCAAGCAGCTTTGGCAGGGCTGGGGCCGACGGACAGGAGAGGTGGGGAGCAGGAGAGGTGGGGAGCAGGAGAGGTGGGCAGCAGGAGAGATGGGGAGCAGGAGAGATGGGGAGCAGGAGAGATGGGGAGCAGGAGAGGTGGGGAGCAGGAGAGGTGGGGAGCAGGAGAGGTGGGGAGCAGGAGAGATGGGGAGCAGGAGAGGTGGGGAGCAGGAGAGGTGGGGAGCAGGAGAGGTGGGGAGCAGGAGAGATGGGGAGCAGGAGAGGTGGGGAGCAGGAGAGATGGGGAGAAGGAGAGGTGGGGAGAAGGAGAGGTGGGGAGCAGGAGAGGTGGGGAGCAGGAGAGATGGGGAGCAGGAGAGGTGGGGAGCAGGAGAGATGCAGCAGGTTAAGACGGCACCCATGACCATCACGCTAAAGGGGCTCCGGGGAGGAGCTAGACCCTTCCCCCCGGAGACCCGTCCCCACGGAGCTGAAGCTGCTCCAGTGCCCACCCGGTTGGGGCCGGGGGGCAAAGCCAGCCCCGGCCCCCCCCGGCCCCACTCACTGAGCCACCGCTCCAGCTCCCCAGCGCCGGCCATGGACTCGCGCCGCGCCCCGCCCCGCCGCTCGCAGGAAGCGGAGCCACCCGCCCTCGCTCCCTGCCTGCCGCCCCTCGCCGCGGGGGGAAGCCCACGCGAGTTTTCCTGGCGTGGAAGCGTACGCTGTGGGCGTGGGCTGTCCTGGTAAAACAGCCCCCCAACACACACACCCACCCTCCCCCCCCTCCCGGCTGCTCCTCCCCTCGCTGGCATGCGGAGGGAGCGCGCGTTGGCAAGAACGGAATCAAAAGTCACCACATTAATTTAATAATGAAAAGGTCACCATCCAAAAGAGGAAAAAACATCCCAATCTCTTGGTCAGGGATATTCTTAGCAGAACCACGCGCGTGACACAGTACACAGGGAGGAGAGTTCCCCTCTCAGAGCGGCACGCTCAGCCTGGCAGGACACCGGGGCAGCTAAGAGGGCAGCAGCTATAATATTATATTATACATATCTATTTAAATAGATATAAAAATACCCTCCCCATGGTGTTTGTTGGGGACCTGTGCAGTTGTAGCCGTAGTTACCCTGACTGCAAGGCCCCCTCCAAAATGAGACCAATCGCTTGAGACGAGCCACGCCGGTATCAGAAACAACATTACTTTCTGTCCACGTGGTCTGAATTTAAATGCTGATAAACGTCTCTTTCTCCCAACCTGGAAACCAGGCTATTTGCACGAGATGAAAATAGAAGGACGGACCCAAATCTGTATTTGGTTTCTCTCCCAGACGAAGTGGCTTATGCTTAGTGCAGATACATACAGACCTGCAAACATCATGGTGACACCTGCCTGGTCCAAAGCCCAGCTCATCTGATCAAAGAGAATCAAGCTGAGATCAAAAATACAGGTCTAGGAGAGCGGCACATGCTGCCTACACCATCTGAGTCCGTGGGCTGGCTGTCAGCGTCATTTCTGTCTCGTGTTAGCTAGACAGTGCTTTGTGTATTCGTCCACACACTTCTCTGGGTCCCAAAGTCACCATCATCTCAGCAACGCTCGGTCCGTGCTGAAAACACATAAGAAGTCACTGTACAAATGGAAACTTAGGCTCTGCAGCACATGTTTATGCACCATCATGACGGAAATGAGAGAGTGATTAGCTATCAGATTGCTGTTAGACCAAGGGTAGGGGTTTTATTTGCAACCTCAAAACAGGGGTTTGGGGTTTCTCTCCTCCTGAAGTGAAACGCTAAGAATGGTCAAACTGACCCAGAAGGATTGATGCCAGGGTGTAGGCCAGGATTAGGCTTTGAAGAACTCTTGTAAAACTTGGTTTTGAACTCTGTGAAAGCAGATTGCACATAAAATCCCAGTTTTTCCCAAAACCTACAACCTTGCCAACACTCCCTACAGCTGGTCCAGAGGTTTTTCTACCTTCAGATTTGTGACCATCATATTCATGCTTAGACAATTTCTACCTTTCTGAAACTTTCAGAACAGCTCTTTCTTCAGAACTGCTGTATTTGCTCGTAACAGAAACTGACGTCAGTTCTTGTGAGATGTCCAAATACCAGTATCTTGCTATCAGAGAGAAGATAGCTGTTAAAAAAAAAAAAAGAAAGTCCCCGTCTCAGAATTTTTATTTTTTTACCTGCTGCCCACTGAGAGCCAAGCGAAGAAGCTGCATCATGCTGCTATACTTCGTCTCTTTGGTTTGCTTCTGGAGGCTTCTCAGGTCGTTGTTCAGCTCCTCCACAGTCAAAACAGCTGACTGCCTTGTCACGAGCCTTTAGGAAACAAGATGTCCTTACAGTCCAGGGCCACACAAAACACAGGATTCCTACCCAGAGATGACTAGTGACTTCGACGACTGCCAGCTGCCTCAGACTGGTTTTGCAAACTCTCCTGTCAGCAGCAGCAGTCCAAGGTGAAGTCGGCTGCCCCCGACCCTGCTCTGTGCCAGGGCACCCCCCTGGGTGCAGGGGCCCCCCCCCGGGCGGGCCGGTGCGTCACCCCCTCGCCGCTGCGGAAACCTGGCGGAACCGCACCCTTCATCTACTTCAGCAGCACCAGGAGCAGAGCTTGTTCAGAAAAGCAAGCATCAAGTTTCAGTCATGAAATTGTGCCAAGGACCTGGAAAACCACAGGAAAAGCAGTAATTCTGATTTCTTTTTTAATATGACTTTTAGAGGTGCAGGAGCCATCGCTGCCACTACGCAGCTGTAGGTAGCAGCACTATTATCCCTCCAGGACAGCGAGTATTCTGACATTTAAATTACCATCACAACCATCCAGTTACCACTCAGCTGTGATAAATGACCGAGGGCAAACAACTTTACAGATATCTGGAAATAACAGCTCAATTCGCAGATACTGCCACCTTAATTACTCCCCAAACTGGTTTTCAGGGCTCATTTTAGTTCAGATGTGAGATCTGAACTGGAAAGGAGACTGACATACCACCCAGCCGAGCTGCAAGGTGTGGAGTAGCAGAGGGACACGGGGCAGCGGTGAAACACGTTGGCAAAACCCCACAAAACTCACGGGCCCAGAAGGACTGTCTGCCATCCCAGCAATGTTTCTGAGCAGACAGAGCTGCAGACTGCTAGCTAGAAACAAAGAAATGGAAGCAGCAAAAGCCCCTCGGGGATGGGCTTTTCGGAAGGGATGGTGATTCCGGCTGGACACAAACTGGGTTTGTTCCAGAGACCCAGAACTCTCAGTGCATAATCGGTCTGAACACACATTGACCAAAACCACTCTGTACTTCTCCGGCTCGATGCTACAGCAGACGAAAGCACAGGAGATCAGGTGGGAGAACCCTGCTAACACCCCTGCTTCGTTAGCGCCACGCCGGCACACAAACTCCGCTGTGCTTGGTGCTTTACCAAACCCAGATGTGACAACTCTCGCTTGAGAGCACTGATGTGAGCTTTCCCACTAGCAAGCTGCCTTTCAATTAAAACCAGTGAATATCGCACCAGTTATTAACTACAGCACATTCCAAAGTAGAGCAAATCAAACAAGAACTACGAGCATGTCCAACATCAAGACAGCAGCCAAGAGCAACAGAACTGGGTGCATACAGAACTGGGAAGAGATACTTACCCTAAGACTAGTTTTCCTATTTCCTCTGCTTCTGCAGAAATAGTTTGTAGCTGCTCTCGAGACACCGAGGGCCTAACCCACAGGTAAGAATAATCACACGACACCAGATTCTTCAGGAAGCTTATGTGACCCTGGGGAGAGAAAGCAAAGCTGTCAAGGCTGAGGGTTAAGCTGTGGGGGAAGCAAACTCATTCAGCCTGGACTTCACAGACAGTTAAAAGCGGGTCCAGACACACCACTGCCCTGTGCTTCGTACTGCTCGGCGGAAATGTGAATCGCTGCTGACATGCAGGCAGCTGGTTGTCACCCCCGTAACCGCCGGGTGTGCGCAGAGGCAGAAGCGGCGCGGGGGGCTGTGGCTGTACCCGTGCTGCAGAGCCGCGCGCGGGCTGACTCAGAGGTGGCCCAGGGAAGTGGCTTGCCACGTTCATCTGCCGCCTTTCAGCCGGCCGCGGGGGCTCACGTGAGTCAGCCAGCCCGCCGCCACAGCGAAGCCTTCACACTGGGACAGTCGGGCCCCTTCCTGCCCCTACAAAGAAGGCTTTATTCTTCACAAGGAATCCCCCAGATACTTCAACCACATCCCAGGGGCAGACTGGGAAACAGCTGGGCTCGTCCTCCCTCCTGGCGCTGGGAAATGCCGCAACATGTTCTGTCTCCTGCACAGCCAGCACCCTGCCACTTTCCCGAGCCCGGGGCTCCCACTGCACAAACCCCACTAGTTTAACCAAGAGCTTCACCTACCTCTGCAAAGAGTTTGCTCTGACTCTGCTTCCAAAGAGTGGAGCAGCAGCAAAGCAGAAGTGCCTTACGCTGCCCGGTCAGCAAAAGCTGGAGGTGGGCAGTGCCCTGGCGTGAGGGGCCCCGGGTGCTGGACCTTCCCCCCACAAGCCACCCGCATCCTGGGCCACAGGAGAAGGGCAGCTTGGAGGTTGTCACCACTCATCCAGACGCAGCCACAGCTGACCTTACCCAGCACTACTGACCGTCCTGCTCTGAGCGGGAACCAGAGAGGTCTTCCAAGAGCTATCTTACAATTCCATGACCCACTTTCATGGCAGGGACTCACCCTTCCTCTGCCAAGGGAGCTCTCTGCTGGCTCGGCAAAGGACAGATGAGCTTGGGAATCTGCAAAAGGCCACTAAGATATTCACCATGCCTGTTCCTGCAGCTCAGCTAACTGTATCGTCGGATTTTGGCAGTCATCGTGCACACAACCACTTGAGCGGCCAGCGACAGCCACTGGTGGGCTGTGGAGCTGCAGAGCTCAGATCAAAGCAGTGCCCAGGACTCAGCTGAATCTTCCTCCAGGAATCCCACAAAACCTCAGGTCCCCAAAACAGTGACATAATGCTATCACTGCTCATACTTTTCTCAGCAGGAGGACTCGCTCCACGTACTCCTTTTCTAGAACCTCTTGATCCACTTGTTGATCCCCATAGACGTGCTCCACCAGCAACTGCAACTCTCTAATTAGCTTCTGTCGCAGCCCTTCGTTCTCAATATGACGGGTGAGGTGAATCCTGTAACAAAGAAAACTGGGGTTAGACTGAATCTAATCGTCCCAACCTCACAGCATTTACTAATGAAAACTGCAGAACTGTTAGAAAAGCAACACTAAACCCCAGACAGACATTCTACAACAAAGCCTTTAGCTCTGATGCACCACCGTGAACAAAAGATGTGGTAACTCTCAGCAGCACAACGTCCCCGCAGCACACGAGTGTACTTGCAGAAGTACCTTCTGGAAGCGTCGCCTCTCTTTAGATATTATTTTGAATCTAAACATAAGACCTTGCATCCTCGCTACACCCCATCTGCCCAGGTTCTTACAGTGCACCCAACACCAGCACCCAAGCACAGGCAGGAGCAGTGTAAGCAGGAACTTGTACTTTGCTGCAGCATGGCCACAAAGCCGCCGCACTGGGACCGTGCTTGATCCAGCAAGCAAAATCGCCAGGCAAAGCCACGTGCTAGGA